ACTCCAAAATCCAAGCTTTTAATCGATTTTCTGCATCTGGATACAAAGCATTCTTACCTGAACCTACACGTTTATTTGATGATTTGGCTTTTTTTAATTTATCAATATTTTTTATCCATTGAGAAATTTGTGTTTTACTTATTCCTTTAACACGTTCTGCATTTGCAATTGAAGTATTCTGAGCTAATTCTATAACAGCAATCTTTTCACTGGCAGTGTAAGAGGAACGAATTATTGTCATCACTATTTATTTATTTATTCTGTTATAAAGCACGTTAGAAATAAATAATTAAAAAAACATATGATCTACATAGTACATATTCTAAAAATAAATTCAACCATGAATAAGCAACAAATTAAGCAAAATAGATTTCGTCCATGAATAAGCAACTCTTGATTTTTAGAGTCGAATTTTTGTCAAAAACGCGTTGCTTATTCATGGCAGTTTATGGTACATTCAATTTTTCAGAAGATACTACGTTACATATGCAAAAGGTAATTTTTAATTTAATTAGTTGATTGAATAATCAGATTTATTCATTTATCTGCATTTATTTATTTAACTATTTCAGAAAAGAAAGTAAAGAAAGGCTTGATGATCAAACAAAATTTATGGATGAATGTATATTGTATATGGAAAATCATCAAAAAACTGAATGATCTCTTTGATAATATTTGTTGGGAGAGGGAATTTGCATTAGGATTAATTATTATTTTTCCAACCAATTTCACTTAAAGACTAGTGCCATAATCCAAAAAAGGAAAAATTATGGTTGCAAAAGTGGTCGCAAAGGTAATTGCACCCACTTTTTATATGCCGTAAATACAATTACTATCATCATCATCATAATTTACAGCACTAGTCTTTATTTCACTTCATACAAGAGAGCAACTTTCCATTTTGCTGAGGTTGATGAAGAACCACCAAAAGAGTACTGGGAAAGATTAAAACATCAATTTCACTATGAAGCAGAAAAACCATATCGACAGTGGTTTATCTTGGAACACTTGTTAAAAAAATAGCCTTGTGTTGGATCCAAGAAACAAGTTGCTGGAACTTCTCTTGAAGCAATAAATAATCCTCTTAGATACTCTCAAGTTAATCTCTACACGATTCTTCAACACTGTCATAGTTATAAAGATCCACCACTATATTGAGGTAACCATTACACCATTTACAATGAGGGATATCTTGAAGAGCATGTAGTACTGGAATTAGTAAAAGAGGCAAAAAAACTTGATCCTTATTTCCCAAAGGAAATATTATTACAATCAAATCTGCAATTACTATGGGTGTCAAGGCATCAATTTTTAGATGCATCTTGCTAAATTGCAAAAGGGAGGAACCTATTTGTCTTTATTCACCAAAAGGTACAGAGCATCATCTTAATACCAAACATGCTTCATTTTTCAAACAAGTAGCAGAACATGACAAGGTCCAAGTTTATATAGAAAAATCTACAGATTTGTTTGCAAAAAAGTCAGAAAATTACTCTTGTAAAGAAATTTTTTATAATTTTATCACTAAAAATTCATCAAATAAATTTTCAAACAAAGCTTTTGCTTTTTTAAATCATTTTCTAATTGAATCTGGCAATTAGCTGTTGAGTAATTTGCTTTTAAAATTCACAATATGGTTGAATTTTACTTGCTTTTTTGTAATTATGTTATAAGAATAAATTAGATACATTTACCTAATAAATATACCAGATTGCTAACACTCCATTCTCAAATAACTATTTCAATATTATTAATAAGTTGAATGAAATGGGCAATGTGGCTCATAGGAGAGTTAATTGTTTGAAGAAACGGAATCACCTTGAGATCATGTGACACATCACAATTTATTATTATTATTATGTACTAGAAATAATTTGATAGAAGTTAAAACTTAAAGATGTGAGACGATTCATCATAGAAAAGTGGGACCCAACTCCAGATTTATTTCTAATTAATTTACTTTGATAAAAAAATCAAGGTGTCAACCTGTAATAGTGAAAGTATTTCATATTAAAATATATTCAATAAAAGTTCTGCCCTTAACCTATTGAATGGAAAGATTTTCTATATGAATTAATGCAGTGGTTGTTCCATGATGATTAATTTGATTTTTCCAGTTTTTTTTTGCAACACATATCTCCAGTAAAATTACAAATCTTTTGGAAACATCATTGACTATTCATATTAAACAGTTTAGAGAAGAAGATGCATCTCAGACAGCTGAAACAAAAGACAATCGAATTAATAAAACAAGCAAAAATTTCTAAATATTTCCATTAACAAACACAATGGTTATTTTATTATTATTATTAAATTAATTAATGTAAAATTAATTATGTATATATTATTAATTGGTTATTAAATAAGCATATGCATCCTAAGCTTCAAGTGTCTCGAGTATTATTATTTTGAAAATGTAAAATACTTCTAATAGTGCTGGGTTCCATGGTAGATCTGATGTAAATGAGTTTCATATTATTTTTGTCTAGATAAATATCATGATCACATTGCATTGTAATACAATAGTGGTGTTAAACAAATGTTCACTTTGTCTGGTTTTGTTGCAAGCATGCCCCATTTAAAAGACATATGATAATAATATTAGAGTTGTTAACAGTGGTCCAGACCGAATGAACTGTTGAATGTTTTCATTTGTTTTCTGTTAAAAATATTATTTGGCTCTTGTGAAATTGGTATAAATCTGTTGCAACTGCAGGTACCAGATTTTTTAAATAAAATTTAATTGGTGGATCGCCAGACCACCAATTAATAATAATTAGAAAAAGAAAATTTTGCAGAACTTTTTTAATGATAAAATTAAATGTCTTAGATTTGTATTCTAATATTATTATATCTATATATTAATTCTATATTGCATGATTGTTAAGTATATCAATATATTTAGATTTTAATGAAAATAAGCTATAGAATTTGAATCATATTGTTCTCTTACTGATCTAATAAGCAGAAATATAATATGAGGCATACTGCAACAAAACCAGACAAAGTGAACATTTGTATTATCAAGGATTTCAGAATTCAAAAGTTTAGTCATTATCGTCATAATTGTAATGTGATTATAACTTATCATATCTCATTTGTTGTCTTCCCTGTTTCTTAAGTGATACATACAACCACCCCTATATAAAATAATAATATGAAATTTATGCTTGCATGTCTTTAGTTTATATGAAATAGATTTTGAAATAGATTTTGATGAAATTAATAAATAATAGTAAAGGGAAAAGGATAAAATTGAAAATTTCGATGAAATTAGAAGATAGAGATTTTTGATAGATGGAACTGATTTAATTATTAATTACACTTATTTTATACATTATTTTTTTATATGTGGTAGTTATTTTTAACTAGTTACTTTGGATTATAAATTGAATTCGCCAACACCCCTATTCTCATGTTTAAATTATAAATGCAAATTAGCTTGCTATATAACTGTTGTTAGTTAATATAATAAAATGATAATACTACTTATATGAGAGATGATAATACAAAACTCATTAATGTGGTGGTAGCATTGGTGTTATATAATAACAAATTAAAAATGATACACAGTGAGTCTCGATTTAGCGGATAATTTGGGCAATTAGAATAAGAACAAAAATTTCAAAAATCCATTATACTGAGAGAATTTACTTATAGACCATCATTCTGAACCTTTATCCGTTAAACCAAGACTTTTATTAGACATCCACTAAACCGAGGTCCGCTAAATCAAGACTCACTGAGTACATCATTATTTCGGATAAATCATCGATCAGTCAAAATGAAGTATTTAGAGTATTTAGGAAATCCCAAGTATACATATACAGTATATATTGTACGCGTCGCTGTTATGAATAATAAATAAGTCATTTTCTTTATTTACCATCCAATGATGATGCCAAGTTGTCAGCAAGAGTTTTTGAAACGGAAAATCGCATATATTTTATGTTCCTCACTTTGAAAGGACGACTGAGTTATTGGTAGATGCAATGTCCTCCATGAAAGTTTTTTATGATGGATCGTCTATACAATCATCATGTGTCAATTCCTCATTGAAACTAAAGTTCAATTTTTTTTTTCGTATATATTTATTTACAAAGAAGAAACATCATTTGATACAAATGAACAGAAGGGGGAAAAATTATAATGATAAAACCAATTATTATGTGCTGAGAAAAATGCAGCAAGTATACATTGGGTGTGAGATGTTAATTATCGCTACTTAATATTAATATTAATTTAGAAACTTCATGAGTGAAGTTTTCGCATGGAGCCTGCCCTGTATATATTTAGTTTAGCATTGAAAATAATTATAATAATGAAATAATGAAATAATGAAATAATAGCTAAACAAATCAACAATCTCTGACAATTAAATACATTGGCGTAAAAATGCAGTTTTATTTTTATTTTATAAAGTAATATCAAATAATCTTATGCATAGATATAACTACAAATACATTCCATCTGTAGTCGATTAAATGATATACCTTCCTTTTAGATAAATTAAATGGTGATCTAGTTTGTGTTGTGCATGGATCCCTTGGAATTATATTATCTATGATATTAATGGATTGATTAGATACCTTGTTTGGGTGTGCATAATGGATCAACCTTGAAATCAATTGTTCGGTTTTTGATGAAATGCTTGTGATTTATTATTTTCATTATTCTTGACGTAAAAACGCGTTTTTAATTGTTATCGTTAAAGTAATAACTTGTTAATGATTGATCTGATGATTGAGCTTGTTCAATTGGATCATCAAGTGAACGACTTGTATAGAATGCTTCAGGATGGTATTCATAATTCTTTGTATTTGACAAAAACTTATCTGAATTGATGTAACAGCTTGCTGACCCAATTTCAGTTGATGAAGGATTTGATGATTGAGCTAGTTCAATTGATTTGTTCAGTAGACGATTTGTATAGATTGCTTCAGAATGGTGTTTATAATTTTTTGTATCTGACAGAAACTTATCTGGACTAATGATTTTTTGTCTCTTACCTTCTGCTAATTTGATATTTTCATAATTATAACGATATTTACAAAAACAATTCCTAATTTCTTCATTAGTTCAACATAGAACACTAGAGTATCGTCAGTGATTTGAGGTCTTTCACCATTTAAAATATCCGATATAAGGATATGATTATGTGGTCTATCGTGAAAAGGTTTCTTTCCTGTGGTATTATCATTCCAAAACTGTAAATATCTGATTCTTTTGTATATGGTTTTTTTGATAATACTTTAGGTGCCAAATATGGAACAACTCCAAATATTTTTTTGTATTATCTTTTTTATCAAACACTTGTTGACACACCAATTAATATCGTATGAAAAAAAAGAAGTCATGATGAATGTAATCTTTTGAATGAATTGCCATTAATCTAATTTATAACAACAATAAATATTAAATAATTACGATTCTGTTTTTTAATATTAGTTTTGAATAATTTTTTTGTAAATAATCCCTTAAATTTTCTTCTTGAGCATAACTTGGAACCATCGCATAGTTGTTATTCTCTGGAAATTTAGTTATGCCATAAGATGGAATAATCATTGACGATTTAATTTTACAATAATTCAAAGATTTATTAATTTTTTTAAAATTTAAAAAATACCAACTTCATCAAAAGAACCTTTCCCTGGATCATTCGAATTATTTAAACATTTTAATACTACATATAGATTTGCAACATAGCTAAATTCTTTTTTCTTTTCATCATAGTCAACTATAGGTCCTTTTGTCCTTCTGTTAATTTTTCTACATTTTCAAATTGATTATAAGGTATCCATTTGATAATTTGACGCGGAAGTGATGATTTTATTTGAGATTGTTGAATGAAATTGTCAACAATATCGTTTCCAGATGTCCAAGCGTTGAAAAGACTCTGTAAGTGTAGACTGATACAATTTTCGCCAAATTTATTTGAATATCTTGTCGACTTACGCTTTTTACATTCAAAAGGTTTACCACATTTATATAATGCATTTTGTAATTCAAATACATAAATATATCTTTCTATACAATGTTCGTTTTTTTTTTTTTCTATTTCGGAAGTTGTTTATTTCTATTGCCTAATTGTAAAAATATTCTTTTATATTTTCTCTATCAGGTATAGTTGAAATTGCATTATTACGCATTTCGTTATAAATTTTAAATAAAAATACCCTTCAAAATTACAATTGTGTTTTATTTTCGGTTCCGTTTTAAGTATCCTCCATATAAATATTGGTAGAGAAAATATAAACTTACTCTTTTTCACCTCGGCTTTGACTTGGTTCAGATTTGTTTTGTTTCACCTTTATTTAGCCTTGCGCTTTTAATTTTCATATTACATATAATCTTTTATACCAGCAGATTTGGTTTTTCAGTAGAATAATAATTAACCCTAAAAAAATTTATTTGCTCCGCTAAAAAAAAATTATTTTGCTATTTAACAACCCGTCAAACCAATGGGTTTTTGCTAATATAAAGTATCATAACATTATGATCATACCGTACTGAATTTTAGGGTTCAGCGCATCGTTCTCAATATAATTGCTAAGAACATATTCGCCTGATATTAAAATAATGCTTTAATTAATTGTTTTTTTTAATCTTTAATTCTAAAAATATAAAAAGTAAAGGATAATAATCTAAGACCAAATTTTCTCAAAAATATTCCTTCGGGCGACTCAATTAAATTTCTCCCTCCATCTCAATGTTACATATATATTGACAGAATTAAATGGTCGATAATTCACCAGGCACCAAATGACCTTTGTGAATATTTAAATGTGTCCGCCAACGTTTAAAAAACAATTTCAGCCAACACTTTAATAATTGAACAGTTTTAAAATTAAGAATGTAACGTGAAATTTGTGATTTTATGAAGAATTTACTTTAACATAATGGTATTAAGTATGTGGATTTCCTTTATTTAGATTAAAGAATTTAAAGTATTAGTGCCGCTGAAAATTTTAACAAATGCAATAGTGGTCATGTAAAAGATATACATGTCAATACAGTGTACTGCAAAAAGAAAAAATGGCTGTGACAAAAAAATTGCATGTCTCAAAATTTATCAACAATGATACGAAATACTATTACCAGTTTTTGTAAACGTCTTTTTTCCTAAACTTCACTAAATTTTGATTTTTCTCAATCATAAATTGTATCAACTTACCAATGTCTCTTGACAATCTTTTTTCCACATTATTTTTTATGATCTGTCACATGTTTTCAATGGTTGCGTCTTCCTTCAAATATTGTACAGTCAGCACCTACAAAGAAGGGATCAGATTCTCTGGATGTATTAATTATAGAAAAACATGCATAGTTATTATATAAAAAATTAGGCGTCAGATTTTCCTTTACGAACACGCAATCGTGCTCTTCATAACTGTGGGTTTTTTCTAAAAGTGACAAAATTCGGACATCTAGTAAGCCTTTGACAAAGTAAGAGGCTTTAACAATCTCTTTGACAACAATGCAATTAAAGTAAACTTCTGGGCCATGTCCTCCTTCCTCCCTGAAATTAAATTGCATCATCGTGTCAGGTTGGATCAACCTTCGTTTCCAAGGAAGATGGGAACAACTGTAATTTGAGCCCTAAAGTAATTTCAATATCTGTAATTTCTAACAAACAAATGTTATTGTTTTTTGATGTTTCCAAGCTGTCTAAGAGCAGTTTTCTCACCTTCAATAGTTATGTTGTTGTTTTTTTTTAACATTCCTTACAATTTATCCCCTTTTCGAATACAAAAAGAATCATGGATTTCAATGACTTTTTAGTAATAGGTAGATGAATAATCAACTATTGCGAATAAAGTTCCGAACAGAACTTAAAGCTCGGATTTGGATTAGTTTGAGTTTTATCATGCATATATACACACAAGTAAATGCAAAATACCAACAAAAAGCTTTGTGAATCAAATAAAGTTATTCTACAAGTTAAAATCAACTCATTTTGAACACATATATTAACTAAAGCTCGTAATTTTACGCATTTTACATATCGTAAACTTCAAATCAAAAATTAAAAAACAAGCAGCGCGACGACCAATATCACATACAAAGTAAAAGTTGCTCTATTTTAAGCTTTTAAAAATGTATTGGATACACATATATGTATATAATCATTAAAGGTAGTATTATTTTTATTTTACAATTTAATTTTCGACTCAATCCGAGAATTTTCGGTTCAATTCAACAAGTAAACAAAGCCAAATCGAAAGTTTTCGGATTGGCTTAAAAACTGAAACCGATCTCTTCAAATAACCATAACTGAGTGTATTATGAAATTAATATAATAAAATTTTCCTATTTATTATTATTCCATTTATTCTCATTTTATTCATATTAATATTAAAAAAAAAAAATTCCGAAAAAATAATAAGGAAAATTTCATTTTTATTTTCTGGAATAAAAACGGAAAAATGTAATTTTTATTACTATTACTATTAATATTAATTACCATTACCATTACCATTAATTACCATTACTATTACCATTACTATTACTATTTTTCCAGAATTCCGGAATTTTTTTTTTAGGGTCACTTTACTGATTTTACAAACTAATAAATAAGGAAAGACTGAAGCAAAATTCGTGTTTCTTTTTATAATAGTAATATTTCTGATTAAATTCCGTCTTTTAAAGGTCTTTCGCTGGGAACAGGTATTGCAGATAGTTTTAAATAAACTTTCCGTCATTATCATTATTGGCAAAAAAAAATTTTTTGCATTCCTGCTACTTACACCTATTTTAATTTACTTTATTCTGATAAAGAAATAATGAACATGCAGTCAATTGATGTATAAAATATATAACAAACTCTATTAGAGATGTTATTGGGAACTGTATAACATCAAAAAAGGACCAAATATTATTTATTTGCTATTACGATTAAATTGGATAATAACTTGAACAATATAATGAATTAATAATATTCATGACTAACTAGTGTTCACATTGTTGATTGAGATAATTGAGATCAACCAAAATACGAAAAATTTTGTTTTAAAATTTATAAATATTTGTGTTTATTCAAGATATTTATTTTATTTTTGGGCGGAAACTGTGTTATCACCATGATATTAAAAGCAAATTTTATTGGTTGGGAGGGTGTCGTTGTACCAGTTGCTGAAGAGGAGGAATAATAAGATTTCAGGTTATTTCAGGGTTACCTACCTCTGTTACACTAACCCGTCCCATTCTTTGTTTTGATTGGTAGAAATATGACTTTATTATCCTAAACAGGTGGTGTATTAGTAACCCAAGTGTATTATTGTAATAATAATAAAAAAAGCCATAGTTCCCTTACTTGGGTTGTAACCAGGTAACATACAAGTTCGATTCTGCAAAATTTTGATATTCACTATTGTTTATTGTATTAATTTGATGAATGGATTCTGTATCTCTATTAATGATTTTTATAAAACGTACACACATACAATATTGATATGTAAATTTTGACAAAAATAAATAACAATGATTGATAATAAATTACTTTATATTATTTCTTAATATTGTTGAACTATATTAGCATTCAAATTTATGGGTTAATATTGTTTAAATGTCAAAGTCTTTAGGTTAGTATTGTTTAATTAATATATATATATATATATATATATATATATACTTGACTTTTACAAAAATAATGATAATAAAAAAATCTTCTGATTATTAATCATTTATTAAAGGGAAAAAAAAAGAATAAACCATGGCAAAAGTAATAATAATGATAATATAATTTTCATTCAATTATTCTATTTTAATTTATTAATAATAATAAAAATATAAAAATATTTAGGTAATAATTAATATTGATAATCCAAAGTATCCATTAGTTGATGATCCTGAATTGCATAATTTTCAAAAGCAACATAATATTTTAAAATATGTTTGGCAAAGCAATTTCTCTTCTCCTGTTGAACCCGCTTTAAAATCTGGCGGAAAAGCCCTCGATGTTGGGTAATTAATTATAATAATAATTTAATCTAGCAATTGATGTTAACGGCTGATAGAATCAAATAACAATGGTTGATAGAATTAGTAATTAGAAAAATTTTTTTTTTAAATTCTTGCTGATTAATCAATTTGATTTGATAATTTAGATGCAGTGTTGGCATCTGGGCTGCAGATGTAGGTCAAGAATATCCTTCAGCCAGTATCACAGGTGTTGACATAGTACCTGATTTTCCCAAAGATCATCCTTCCAATGTGAAATTTGAAAAGGCCGATGTGCTAAAAGGGTTACCGTTTGAAGACAATAGTTTTGACTTGGTTCATCAAAAGTTTGGAGCCTTCGCGTTCACCGAACAACAATTTAAAGATAAGGTTATCGATGAATATGTCAGAATCACAAAGCCTGGTGGTTGGATTGAACTGATGGTATTTGTTGTTATCATCTTTTTATCACATATATATTCATTCCACATATAAATAATATTTGTTTTTCCTCCAATTACTACTAGGAATTTGACCAAACAGCTGTTAATCCTGGCGAAACTTATAAAAAATTTCAAACAGCCGGTAAGTTCACTATGAACACATTTTATATTTTTCAATTTTTATTTATTTAAATTTGTAAATTTTTTAGCTCATGTCGCTACTTCTCATGGAGGACTCAATCCTGTTCCAAGTTCGTTTCTTCCTAAATTGGTTGAATCTAACAAAGATTTGACCAACTACAAGTTCATAGAGCATCAACATCCAATTGGTAAATGGGGAGGAAAACTTGGTGAATTGGTAAGTAAAAATAATCAAATATATATATATACATGTTCTTTTTTTCTAGGTCTAATTATCATTATTATTATGTTTTCGCGTCTCTTAGACACTTCATGATTGGCTTGAGGTTTACAATGTTCATAAACCGGCTTTAACTAGTGTGATGAATTGTTCCAGCGATGAGTATTCTGATATGCTAACACAATTTTCCAAAGAAGTCGACGAACAAAAAACTTGTTGGGTAACTTATAGAATTATTGCTCAAAAAAAATAAATTAATAATCAATTAATTAAAACTTGTATAATTACGCCTGACTATATATATATCTCAATAGTAAATATAATTATATTATTATTATCATTATTAAAATTTGTTTGTTTTGAAAGCCAGTTTAACGGATGATTACCAAAGATGTGGCTCGTGCTACGCTGTAACCACAAAAGGAATGAATGTACAGGAGCACTTTTTTTCTTTGTTTTTCCGTTGTGCTCCTTTATACTACGCGGAGAAATACGAGATCAGAACTTGTTTGTCAGACGATTAATTTAGTTAATATATATATGTTGATATTAAATTACGTCAAAAAAAATAACCCGTCAATTTATTAAACATTACAAAGCGATCGCCGTTCTCCTTTAGATGGTTTTATATGTTGTGTGATTGTGTTTAAGATTGATGTGAAATTTCGTGATCTTTTTTTTTGCGAATGCTCACGCCTTCCCCATAACAAGTAATAGTGACCAAAACATTTCTTTACAAGAAATTTCCAGTTTTAGTGATGCATATATTTGTATATGGATATAGATATTGGCATAGAGGGAGAGATTGTGTTGGAATCCTATTGTGTTAATTTAAATGAATGAATTAATAAATGAAGTAAGCAAGTAAGTAATAATAATGAACTTTCCGTTCTTTTTAGTAAATACATTACCATTACAATAAATAAGATTATAGTCATCTAATAAATAAATAAATTAAAAAATTATTTTAAATAAGCCCAACCGAAAGTAGACCCCATGTAACCCCCCGCAGTAGGCATACAGTCTAAAATAAAAAAAGCTTAACTTAATTTGACTATCCAATAATAATGGATAATGTAATAATGTAACCATTTTAGGACATCCGTCCAATATGGCAAAAAAAAAAAAATAAAAATCGTTTTATAAATTAAATGGTCTTTATTATTATCGCTTTCTTCTTCAATCAAGAAGAAAACACAATAACAATAATAAATTAAATTTTCCAATTTCGATATGCTTTATTAGAATTTTATTATAATATAATAAATTAAACTAAATTTTAAAATTTAAATAAGAAAGTTATTTACAACAAAACCCCGTCTTTAATAATAATAATAATAATAATAATAAAATAAATAATAATAATAATATTAAGCAGATTTTGATTGTAATAAACATATTTGACAACAAATATAAATAATCAACTTACTATAAGATGCCTCCAACACAAATCCAATCTAATTCAGTAATAAATTCACACAATATTAATAACAATCATCAAGTTGACTTTCCTGTTGACTCCATTATAAGCGAACCTAAACTCTATGTAAGTGACTTACAATTTAGTATCACTGAAAATGAACTTCGTGACTTATTTGAGGACATTCAACCCACAAGGTTAGTTTCTTATTCATTGCCCTTTTTATCTTAAATAAAACGTTAATTAACTAATTAACTAAATTTGTTTATTTTGAAAATTTTATAAATAATAAAAAGCGTCCAAATCAATCGATTGCCAGGGAATGCTCCACCTAATGCTCCACATACTGCTGTGATTAATTTTGCTACAATAGACCATGGTAATAATAATAATATTACAATTAATATCACAATTATTATTATCATCATTCTAAATAAATATTAAAAATTATATTTGTATAATTATAATTTTTGTAGCTGAGAAAGCATTTGCTATTTATAATCATAGTAAATTGGACGCATATAATACTTATTTAAGCCTACATATTAATGACCCAACCTCTGGAATTTATGACCTACAAACACAAACAAATGCCCTTATTTTACATGTCAGACAATTAAGTACAACCAACACGAATATTAGCTTGTTCAATATTTTTAGACCTTATGGGCCTTTGTTTTCCGTTAGGATGCAAGTCCAAGATAACAAATTTAAAGGTTCTGCTTTCGTACAATATTTTAGAAAAGAAGATGCCGATAAAGCTGTTGCTAATCTGGTATGTTATATTTTTATTTATCTTGATTTGGTTTCATTCTATTTTGATTTTATTTTTTGATTTTACTTTTGTTTTTTTTTTTTTTTTTTGGTAGAATTCTAAGGATAATAAAGCAATGTAAGTGCTTCTTTCTCCTCCCTTCCCCTTTCTCTTAATTTATATTTATTTATTATGAATATGTTTAAAATAGGATTGTTCAATATCATCGTCATAATAACAATAAAGCTCCAAATCGTTCAAATTCTAACAACAACAACAACAATAATAACAAATCTATGGGTGTGGTAAGTAATAATCTTAATGATAATAATGATGATGTTGTTTTTTTTTTTCAAACAATATTTTCTCATCTCTTATCCTCTTCTCTCAATAATATTATAATATTAGCCGGTCCCACCATACACACTTCCAATCAATTACAATAATAGTAACAGCAATAATCATCATCAAAACAATCAACAACATCAACAACAACCACATCAACATCACAATCCACAACAATTACCACAACAACCACAACAACAACCACAAGGTCCTACTTCACCTGGTCCCGAAGGTCCTATCGTAGATCCATGTAATTTATTCATTAAAAACCTCGACTCGAATATTTCCAGTAGTGATCTTTTTAGCCAATTTCGTAGATTTGGTAAAATTATTAGTGCTCGTGTAATGCGAGACCAAGAAACCGGCAATTCTAAAGGATTTGGTTTTGTTAGTTATTCCAGTTCTGAAGAAGCTGACAAAGCTAAACAATCTATGCACGGTAAAACTCTTGGTGCTAAACCAATTGTTGTAAGACTTCACGAACCTAAAAAATTACGTGAGGCTAAATTGGCAAATCAATTCAGCCCTAACACCGGTGGTAGTGGTATTATCAGCAATAACAACAATATTATCAATAATAACAATCTTGGTGGTGGTGGTGGTGGTGGTGGCGGTGGACCAATCTCACCTTCATCATCCAACAATAATATTAATAAGAATGATAACAATAATAATGAGAATCGTGTACCGTCTAGACGTAGTTCTGAATTGTATCCCATCAATGTGGTCAATGAATTTGGTCATGATGATCTTCATAGCTTGGCACCTAAAGCCCGTAAAGAAGTTTTAATGTCTGAATTGCAAAAACGATTTAAAAATATTCCAAGTGTTCCTCATGATGAAGTTAATTATATAATTGAATATCTATTAAATTTGAAAACTCCTGAAGTTTTGCATATTTTGAAAGACGCTACTGCTTTACAATATAGGGTTTGTTTATGTTTATTTGAATATATATTTTTATGCTTTAATGGCTATCAATTGATAACGATTGTACTAGTTAATTAATCGAAATTTTACTCCTTCAAAAAAAACAGATAACAGAAGCTAGACAAAAACGGCGCGGCAGTGAGGGGACTGTTCTTATACCACAACAACCTTTCAATAATAATAACAGCAACAATAATACAAATCATGTGAATAATCATTTAATTCATAACAACATTAATGTCAGTACAACTGATCTAACAAGTTCTGCTGCTCAAGTTTCACAAAAAGAAAAATTCCATAAGGCTATTTTGAAAATTTGCCCAGGAAACGTTGACGAGATCCTTGAGTTGATATTGACTTTGAGTACTAAGGAGAGAAGATCGTGTTACTTTAATGCTGAATATTTGAATAAAAGAATCCATGAAGCAATCCAAGCATTGGAAGTTGTTACCAACGATGATAATTTATCATGTTCCCCTAAATCAACTGCACCATCAACTGAAATTACTCCAATTTCCACTCCTCCGTTTATTAAATCAACTGAATCCTTAAATATTACCAATAAAACTACTTATAATGTGAAGACCATCAATCCAATTACGTCAACTACCACCACCTCTCCCACCTCTTCTTCTACTCGTAATAGTGAATGGGATGAAATTCAACAATTTATGGATAGCATTAAATTTAAACCTGTTCATGAAAGAAAACAAAAATTGGGTGATCGTTTATTCCGTAAAGTTAAGGTAAATCATTTATCGATATTTATTTATTATGAGATTTTTTTGAAATGAAAATGATTGATTTTTATTGATTATTTTGTTTAGAGCCTTGGACTCAAAAGTGCTATGGCTAGCAAGGTTACAATTAATCTTTTAGACACTGACGACTTGTATGAATTGGCTCATTCCATGAATGATAATGATAAGTTTAGAGAAAAAGTCGCTGCTGCTGAAAGAGCTGTAAACGCAAAATAAGCTATTATATATATATAATAATAATATATAATAATTATAATTTCTTTCTATCTGGTATTTTTCTTTAGTCTATTAAGTAAATTTATAAAAATATATATAATATATATAATATATATAACAACAACGTTATATAGTTAAGACAAAAACAAAAATTTCGAAAAAATTTATATATATATTATTATTATTATTTATTTATCCATATATGATAAATTATTATTATTATTATTAAAAAGGTTTTTGATTTTTTTTTATGGGAATTTTATAATTTTATAGGAATTTTATAGATATTTTTTTTTTTAAAAGAAAATATTTTTTTCTTTTAATCTTTTCTTTTTTATTTGGTTAAAAAATAATTATTTACAATTATTTTTTTTTATTTTTTTACTACTTTGGATTTTTAACATAGTATTTAGGCATTATTATTATATTATATATATTTTTATTATTATATGAAGTTTGATTTTATTTTATTTGTTCTTTTTCGATAAAACTATTAAAAAAGAATTTTTTTTTTTATTGATTTAAAAGTTTCATCGAATTTTTTTATTATAAAAATATTTTATGTGATGACAAGTATTGAAGTTGCAATAACATTCGTAATAACGTTGATTTAAAAAAATCAATCCAGTATCTTGTAGACCATCCTTTACTTGAAATGCATACTTCTATTTTCCTCTGCATACTTTCAATTAAATTAAAGATATCTCTCTTAGGAAATTTTGGCCATTCTTCTTTCAAAGAAAACTCTAAATCCGTTGCATTTTTAGCAAGACCAATTCTTTTTTTTTCAAATTCATCTTCAATTTGATTAAAATCTGGCGAAGGCCTAATATATATATATTTGCTGGCAACTCTTTTGTTTTTGTCATTTTAAAAATTTTCAACCAAAATTAAAACAGTTTATTTACTTCAATGTCAGATAATAAAATTATAATATCAGGAATTCACAGACATGTCGAATGGAAAGGTGTCGATAAGCAAACTGTTTAAAGATAAAACAAACCTTCCAAAATTTTTGAGAGCTCAATTTGGCACAAGGGTTATAACTCTTGGATGAAATACAAAGTCTGTATTGAGAAACATGGTGATTAAGTTGCCTTCTCCGTTCATTCCAGAATAATAAGCATGGATATCAAGAATCAAATATCAAATTTCTTGCAAGTAGGAAAAAATTTCCAATCCAAAATTCTTTTTCTACAACAGTATATAAAACACAAGGGCTAAACTTTACCTATTGTGCCCGCAACACCTTGAAATGCAAAGGTTTCAGATGAATGAAAATCGTTTTTACGTGACCAATCGCCAAGATGATCTGAAGTGTTGTAACAATCGGTTTTTTAACAATTTTTCTAAAGTGGGAATAATTTGTTTTCACGACAGGTAAAACTTCAACAACAATTAGCCAAAGGAAATACTTGTGATTTTATACCAGATGTCATTTTTACATTCTAAGCTTTGAAATTTTGAATAAACCCTGGAACGATCCTCTTTCGATGAACGCGATACCTTATATTTCATTACAGACAGATATCTGGGAGGACTGAGAAGAGTTCAAGCCGTTTCTCGTTCTTTTCAAATAGTTTCGATATTATTATAAAAAAAAATACACATGCGCGTAAATTTAGATTAATCACTATAATCAATGATCAACCAATCAAAATTGTGTTGTACAAACAATTAACAAGGGACGGGCGTGGCACAGTTACCCGTCTCTTGTCCTTTTCTATGGGAAAATTTGAGAAGGACAGGTGAAAAGGAACAGGTTTGCTGTGCCTTTTTGCCAATCCCTCAAAAAAGACGGCATAATAAATTTTTTCAGGAGTAATAAATAAAACGTGGCATTCGTTTTTGATAATTTGGATCAGTGCCAACAATCAGCTCTTTTGTCATTATAAAAAATCGAGACTTTAGATAAGAAATAAGTGGGAAATTATAATAGTCCAATTTTGCAGCCTGTTTTACTAAAAATCATATTTATGCCAAACACATTTCAAATATCCTTTTCAAAAGGCCATCCTTTCTCCATTTGTCCTTTTTCTACGAATATAGAAAAGGCAGTGGGACGGGTAATGGCACAATAACCCGTCCTTTTCTAATGAACTATAGAAAAGATTGTGATCGTACCACACCCGTCCCATGTTAGCTATCCGTCCTTTTGTATTATTTTGCAGAACACCCGTACCATCATCACCGTCCTTTTTTAATAGAAAAAGAAGGGGACGGGCAGATGTGGCTTGGACCTGCCCCTGATAGATCAATAATAATAATAAATTTGAGGCTCCATGTATGGGGTGCAAACTTAAAAAATTTACAGGGTTCAAGATTTTAATTAGCATATAGGTGTAAAAAAAAACCATTTAATAAATCTATTTTGCAGAATTCAAATGGCCGCATTTTTTACATAGTCTTAAATCTTCATTTTTTGCGTATTTTTCGATTACAGGTTTTAATTGAGTACCCAAATCATGACAATGAAAACTTTCTTCATATACAACATTTTTACATTCCTCACAATACCATCGTAATTTATCTATTATGAAAAGAAGAAAATTGTAATTAATATTATCCATTTATATTGAAATAAAAAATGTAAATATATTTACCAATCTCTTCAGGACGACGATTTCTTTCAATCACTATTCCGATTGTATTTGCAAATCGAACGGGATTATGTGGTGTATTTGCTAGCATATAATTATATAAATAAATATTAAAAAAGTATTTTACAATAAAAAATATCAAATAGTTAAAATTACCAACCTGATAATAAAAACATGTCACCTTCTTTGATAGGAATATCTTTAAACACATGGCCATCTTCAACAACTTTCAAAATCATATCACCTTTATATTGATAAAACCATTCCTATCCATTTTTAAAAAAAAAACAAATTGCTATTGATTCTTAAGAAAGTCACATAACTTTGCAAACTCCATCACGACTACTAATATATTTATTTACTTCTGTTTGATTCACATGATAGTCAGTTCTGGCATTAGGTCCTCCAACCGCCATTATAATAAAATCGCCACGTTGTATCAATAAATTATTAACTGGTGGTTGTAATTTATGTTCATTTTCTTTTAGCCATGAAAGAAAGTTAATAGGTGTTAAAAGCGGCATTTTTGAAAATTTTTGAAATTAAAAATTTTTATTTTTCATGTAAAATGTGATCATGAACATTTTAATTGGTTAATTAAAAATCTTTTTTTAGGGGAGAAAAAATATTAAATCCATCTCTATCTTTACTTATTTTTTTTCTTCTTTTTATTTATAACCAAACTCGCAAATAACGTTTTTGCGGTAATGTATTATTTAATTATTTAATTTATTTAATTTGTTAATATTTATACGATTAATTTTACAGCCAATTGATTAATTAGAACGTTTATTTTTTATATATTAATATGTTTTGTGTGAGTGCAGACTTGTCTTTAAGCTTCCAATAATAGGATCCCCTTGAACACGTTGAATAAAAATTTCAAAAGATGTCAAAGGGAGACGGTCGCGCCAAAAAGGCAGAATATTTTGATAAACTCAAGGAATTATTAGAAGAATTTCCATCAATTTTTATTGTAAATGTTGACAATGTTGGCTCCAATCAAATGCATCAGATTCGCCATGCTCTTCGTAATAAAGCTACAATCTTGATGGGTAAAAACACAATGGTTAGGAAAGCATTGAAAACTTTTGTTCCTGAAAATCCTCAGTATGAAAAATTGTTTCCTCATATCAAAGGCAATATTGGTTTCGTTTTTACTAAAGAAGACCTTAAAGAAACCAGAGAAGTTATTTTATCAAATAAGGTACTGAAAATATTAATATTATATATAACATTATATATGAATAATGAATAATATATATATATATAATTTAGGTCCGAGCACCAGCTAGAGCAGGAGCAATAGCACCTCTTGATGTATTCGTTCCTGCTGGTAATACAGGTATGGAGCCTGGTAATACAGCTTTTTTCCAAGCTCTTGGAGTTCCAACCAAAATTTCTCGTGGTACCATTGAAATCATCAATGAGGTGCATTTGGTTAAAGTTGGGACTAAAGTTGGTGCATCAGAAGCTACATTGTTGAACAAGTTGAATATATCACCATTTACCTATGGTTTAACCATCACTCAAATTTATGATAATGGTACCACATTTCATCCTTCTGTACTTGATATTGAGGAATCAACTTTGATCGATCATTTGCTGAGCAGTATTAAAAGTATTGCTTCGATTTCATTGGCCCTCAAAAACTATCCTACCATTGCTTCTGTACCTCATTCACTTATTAATTCTTATAAGAATTTATTGGCTATTTCACTTGCAACAGAATATGATTTCCCAGGTTCTGAAAAGGTAAATTGTTTATTTGTTTATTTATCATGGTGTGATTAATAATTGATATATGAGATATATTATATATATAAAGAGAAAAATATATTTATATAAAATGACTAAAAATCTTTCTAATTTTTATTTTTATTATATTACACACACAAACAACCTTTTTCTTTCCTCGCCCTTTCACTCTTTCTTTTTTCACTTTTTAAAAAATGTTTACATAATATTAATTTACAAAATAAAATAAACAATAGATTAAAGAATACCTTAAGGATCCAAGTGCATTTGCAGCAACAGTAACAACAACAACTGCTACAACTGAAGTTGCTGATACTAAAAAAGAAGCTGCTAAAGAGGAACCTGAAGAAGAGTCAGATGATGATATGGGTTTGGATTTGTTTGGTTAAAAATATTCTTTTTAAAGTTGTTTTTCTTTATCATTATTTTTGTATATATTATATACAATAAATAATAAAAATTTCTAAATTCTCTATATATTTATCTATTAATAAGTAGAAATAAATAAAATAAAATTTTTTCTCACACTCATAATAATAATGTTTATGTTTATGAAACAAATACTTATTCTACAAAATGGTTTCTTTACCTAGCAATATATTTCTAACAATGATTGCAGCATGAGAATTCACCACATCAAGATAGACTGCATATTTTTTTCCATTCTAATTTATTTAAATATCTATAACTTCTGATAGAGCTTTAGATAATGCAATTGAGAGAACTGTGTGGATTTTGAGGAATTTATCATTGAATTAAATTCGTTATTGTTATCATTAATATTACAGTCGTTGCTTTCAGCGTGGAGAAGATGGTTGACTTTGTGGTAAGAAATTTTGAATATTCAATGAGTGTTTCGGCAATTTCGGCTACTAAGAGAGGTGGTTTCGACCAGAAACCTTAGTTGTAATCCGTGAATATAAATACATCCATTGGATAAACAGGATTCCTTTACCATAATTACGATTTGATTGAGAGCGATTTATATCATTAAGTGAACATTCAAGGGTCCAAGTGAATATTGAGATTCAGAGAATTAGGAACAGGTGAAAGGGTAGAAGTAGAATAATAAGCTATAGGCGGACTTGTAGCAGTAAATAAAGGCTTAAAGGCTGAGGTGGAGAGAAGTTAATCAAAGGTTTCAAATATCATTTATTAGTTAAGAAAGTAAGTACTTTCTTTTTCCTTGTAAAGGTATATGATATATTCCTTGAAGCAAGTCAATTCACAAATTAAAAAAAAACGGGCAATAAATTTTTTTCGGCCAATAAAGTTTCTTAAACGTGATTTATCGCGTAAAATGTCTCGATAAAAAATCCGAGAATTCTTAAGGCTCGCAGACATATAAATGTTTTGTACTTAATTGGGTCGGGTTGAGGATACCTCTATTAATGACAAAAACAACCCATAAATTTATTTATTTATTTATTTAAAGATGAATCGAACTATTTGAAAACAATAAATGTTTGCCAAACATCGCAGCAGTACGTTTATTAAAAAAATAATAATTAATGTATATAAAATTGTAATTATTTTCTTTTATTCAGTTTTTGAATAGATCCTCCTGAAATTTTTGCTATTGCACCAGGCTTTTCAGGTAATGGATGTATTGTTCTTGTTTCGCAACGCCTCTTGGGACCACCATCATCATTAGCAGGCGCTACTCTTTTTCTATTTGTAGAAGGATTGATTCTGTGACGTGGTTCATTACCACCAGGTTGACCATTATTATTATTACGAGTAGGACGATCCTTATCATTTTTTACATGAGCTCTATGTTGTTTTCTTCTATCCTTTGCTTTACGACAGTTGTATTCATGACTAGATTCATATTTAGGTATGTCTGATGGTTCAGCAGGAAGAGGACTAGTCCAAAAATAATCATGTTCCAAAGCCTCATAAGCATTTAACCTTTTTTCCGGATCTAACACTAATAATTTGTCTATAAGCTCTGCAGCCAAAGTACCAAATCTACTATAGAAATAATAAAGTAATAGATTAGTTGATTAATTGATTGGTAATAATAAATAGAACGAGCACTTACGGCTCAAATTCATGAAAGACTACTCTTGGAAAATCTGGAAAAGCAATATCAGATGCAACTGGTAATTTTTTAAAACTTGGCCAATCCTCTTCTGTTGGGGAACCACATAATTTAAATATTTGTTCGAGCTGGTTAATATCTGAATTACCCATCAGTATAGGTGTTTTCATAAGTATCTCTCCAAAAACACAGCCAATGGCCCACATGTCAATTGCGGTGGTGTATTGTCTTTCACCTAATAACAATTCAGGTGCACGATACCAGCGAGTGACTACACAACCGGTCAATATCTTATTCCTCACAGGTCTTGATAAACCAAAATCGGCTATTTTTAATATCCCATTGTTGTCAATTAATAAATTCGCTGCCTTCAGGTCACGATGCATTATTTTTTGTTGATGAAGGTAGAAGGTTCCTTCTAATAACTGTTTCATATAGCATTTTATTTGAGGAGCAGAAAAAATAACACTTCTGTTTTCAATAAGCCCAGCTAAATCATGGTCCATGTAAGGAAAAACCATATAAATTGGTGGGGTTCCTTGTCCTTCATGATTGTAAGATATAGCCATATCGGAAAGAGTGACAATATTTTGATGGCTCAGCTGACGCAGAATCTTGATCTCACGGATCGCTGTCAACGGGATCCCTTCTTTTTCATTATGCATTAGTATTCTTTTTAAGGCAACGACTGTTTTCGTTTTTTTATGAATTCCTTTGTGTACTTCGCCAAAAGTCCCTTCACCTAATTTATCAGTAAGTTCATAATCTTCTATCGAGGAACAACCCAGGTACTTATGGGTAGTATAATCAATTTGAGCTGGAGAAAAAGAAAAAGATTGTTGTTGATTTTTGACAAAATCCTGTGGTTCAATTGATGATTTTTTGTGTTCTTCAAGAAACTCTGTAAAAGATCCAATACAGCTTGACATGCTTGGAAGAGAAGAAACAACAGTTATTATTTTGTTTGTTTGTAAAGATGATGATGATCGTGGTTCTATTGGTTGTATTGGTTCTATTAATTCTGGTGGCAGTGTTGGCTGTGGTGGTAATGGTGGTAATGATGGTAATGATGGTAATGGTGATGGTTTATTTTCAGTAGTGCTGCTTGATTCTTCTTTAACTGCAACTACAGGAGAACTGGAGGAGCTTGGTTTCTTGTTATTTTCAGACATATTGACATCCATTATTATTGTAAGGAGAATCCTCTCGATTTATTTTTATATTTTTGTATTTTTATATACGTATTATTATTTTTTTAATAGAATATTTCAGATAATCGTTATATGTGATTTTTTTTAGTGTTGGTTAGTTGGTTTATTAGTGTACACAGAGTTAATTTTAACCCTTTTAACAACAATGATGATGATAAAATAAATTATTTTTTACATTTTGAGAAAAATTCTTACTATTAAAAATAAATTATAACTGAATAATGAAATAATATAAAATTAATATTAAATCATGTTTAGATTTCTAAAATTAACGAGTGTGGTTCAATGATTTTAGATGTATAGTTATAAAACTAATGCCATCCTGATTGATAGTGAGCGCCTGCTTCAAGGTGTGTATGATTCTGATTAGTGATATAAGATTGCTCTGGCTTTCAATATCCTTTTATTATTACTTATTTAGGTGAAAGAATAACCTTAATACCTTTTATTTTGTTGTGTAATCACAAGAAATAGATCCCAATTCTTTCATAATGTTGCTCAAAATTTCTTTTTAACTATAACTTCTTTGACCTCAGAATGATGGTTTTTTTAATATGACAAATCCGATACCTCTTTAATGATGTATCGTTTTTTTAAATAATAATAATAATATTGTTAGTTTATTTTTAAATGAATATTCTAAATTGAGAAAAACTAAATTATTAATAGTTGGTTTTTTTCCTTTTAAATATTTAATTAAAAACTTATATTCTAATTTATCTATTTTTTTTCCTAAACTAATCAATTATTAATCAACTAATTGGTGAGTGATTACTAGTAGAGAGAAAATTTTGTTCTTCTTGTTTTTCAAAGTTTTCATTTAATCCAAAGTTTTTTTTCCAAGTATAATTAGGGAAATATTTTTTATTTTGAATTCTTATCCACTCAAAATCATTTTCATCTAAATCTGAAGTAGATTCCCATAATATTTCAGCTTCAAAATTTGGGATTGAATAATCAATTTGCCATATCTCTTCCCTAACATGTTTAGATCTTTCACGATCCTCCTCCATTCGTTTAAGTATATCACACTTTAATAAATTATTTAACATAAATGATGATTGTTGTGATTGTAGCTGATCTTGATCTTGATCTTGTTGTTGTTGTGGTGGTGGTGGTTGTGGTGATTGTTGTTCTTGTGGTGGTGGTTGTGGTGATTGTGATTGTGATTGTGGTGGTGGTGGTTGTTGTGATGGTGGTGGTGGTGATTGTTGTTGTTGTTGTGGTGGTGGTGGTGATTGTTGTTGTTGTTGTGGTGGTGGTGGTGGTGATAGTTGTGATGGCTGTAGTTGTTGTAATGGTTGTGATTGATTATTGTTATTGTCACCATTATCAATATTATTTTGATTATTAATATTGTCATTATTATTAACATCAATATCCATATTATTATCATTATTATTGTTGTTGTTGTTGTTTTTGTGTTTAGTATTGATAGAATTTCTATTAAACCAATTTTTTTTGTCTAATAATATTTCCTCTGCCTCATCCAAAACTTTCTTATCAAAATATTTTTTTTTCCTCCAACTCAATAAAATTCTTTTAGTGTTAGTAATATTAATAACCCCATTTGGTCCACTTGTAACATCCAAGATTAATTTATTTAAATCCTGTCTAATGAGTTCAATATATCCTTTGAAATTTATAGATTTTGAATTCTCTAATAAAGCATCAATGAAATAAAGCAAATTCAATCGTGGCAAGATGGTAAATTGATCCATCACTTCCAATATACATCTATGTAAATCTTCGTAACAACCTTTATTTTGAATTGCATATTTTACACATTTTCTGATGTAAGGTTGTGACGCATTGAGTTTTTTTAAGCAACTTATAAATTCTAATCTCACTTCAAATGGATCCATGAGTAATGATGGCGATGGTGATGATGATGATGATGATGATGATGATGATGATGATGATGATGATGATGATGATGATGATGATGATGATAAATGCAATGTTTTATATTATATTCGTATAGATATTTAGGTATAACTTGTGTATAGTATTTATGTGTATAAATTGCAATGATAACTTTTTAAATATATATTTTTTTAATGATTTAATAGATTATTTGATAGAAGCTGTTGAAAAATGAAGATGTATTTATGAATCAAGTTAGCCAAGATTATTATTATTATTATTATTATTATTATTATTATTATTATTATTATTAAACTCCTATTAAATTATTCTTAAGCAAAGCAAATATCTATAATCTTTTTTTTATTAAACTGATTAATTTGTCACATATATATATGTATGTATTAATATATATTTTTGGGATGAAAATTTATTTTGTTTTTCTATTGATTATTACATTAAATGCATATCATTCATCTTTCTTTATTATATAAATTTTAGTATTTTATCTAAAAAAAGATTTCTAGTAAAGGGGAAATAGAAAGTAATCTATCCTATATTATATTATTATTATGTAGAAAAAAAAAATAAGCAGTATGATTTTGTGTTACATGTGAAATTAATTATGCCAATATTCATTCGAATGTTTGAAGAAAATGGATTATAAAAAAGAGAAAGAGAATTGGGTCAGTGGGCATAGTGGAGGATCAATATTGGAAATTAATTCTATTACAGGAGTTTTATTAACATCATATATATTATGGTCAGCGATTTCAAAAAGTGAATTGGCGATATTGTTCAACTATAATAATTCTGAAGCAGCAACAAATTCATTAATTACAAAAACCATAAACATTATTATTTTGGAATTTTTGATTTTTGTATTGCCAAGCATATTAGCATGTACAATCTTATCATCATATACATTTTATTTAAATTTGTTATTTATAATAATATCAGTTTTGATCTCCAGTAAATATTCAAAAAATAAAGAGCCAAAAAAGAAAAAACAACCATGGGAAAAAGATTCAGATGAGGAAGAAATTGATAATGATAATAGTTATGACGAAAATGAAAATTTATTGCTTAATAAAAAGGGGCTTAATGATAATGGTGGCAATAGTGGCGGTGGAATAGTAGTTATTGATGATGATAATGAAAAATTGGAAGGAAAAAAGGAAAAAGATGACGATGATGATTATTTAATGAATGAAAAATATATAAAAAAAAAAAATATTTATATTTATAGAAAACCATTCCTCACAGCTTATAGATCTAGTATGATAATTTTAACTTGTATATGTATTTTAGCAGTAGATTTCAAAGTATTTCCTAGAAGATTTGCAAAAGTTGAAGATTACGGAACATCCTTGGTGAAGATTTTTTAAAAGATACTTAAATGCATGTGCGTGTGTATGCTGTATGCGCATACGATTAATTTATATGCATATATTATTATTTAGATGGATTTGGGAGTCGGATCATTTGTATTTTCATCGGGAATTGTATCAGCAAAACCATTTTTGAAAAAACCAGAAAACCGATTTAAACCAATGAAAGGACAATTAGTTGCAGCAGTTAAACATTCTTTACCAATTCTGGCGCTTGGGATATTGAGATTAATCGCTGTTAAATTATCAGATTATCAGGTTAATATAATCATCAGTTAAATATTGAATACATTTATTAATAATACATTTATTGACTAATTAAATGTTATGTAGGAACATGTCACTGAATATGGGAAACATTGGAATTTCTTTTTTACACTTGGATTTCTACCGATTTTTGTAACATTGTGTAGAACTTTTCAAAAATACACAAGATTTTCCATAGTTGGATTGGCTATTGCAATTTGTAGGCATTCTATACATAAATACAGTATTGGTTATTGTTAATATTAACAAAATCAAAATACTATATGATTAATGTTTATTGTTTATTTAGTGTACCAAATAGTTTTATCGAAATTTGGATTAGAAGAATATATACAAAATGCACCTAGAATAAATTTAATCAATGATAATAAAGAAGGATTATCTAGTTTTTGGGGTAGTTAAAAAATAAATAATATATTAATCAACTAATTATAAGTATTGTTTATTCTAAATGGATTAAATGTAATTTTATTTTTTCTAGGGTATCTATCAATATTTTTATTTTCATTGGATATTGGACATTATATATTACCGCCAGATCCATATTATGCATTTAAAATGAACAGAAAAAACAAAAAATTTCCTAAACCCACCAAATTATTATTGATTTTAATGTCATGGTCAATATTATTCTGGGTTGGATTTTTATTGTGTATTGGAATCAAAATTGAGATCAGTAGAAAATTGGCAAATTTGAGTTATATATTTTGGATATTAAGTTTTAATACAAGTTTTCTGTCATTATTTCAATTAGTTGAGATTTCATTTTTCGATAAATGGTGGAAATTCAATAAAAATAATGAAAATTATAAAATATTGCCGAGTATAATTGAATCAATTAATGAAAATAATTTATTTATATTTTTAATCGTAAGTAAAAAAAAATAATGTTTTATTAATATTTGACAACATATTTATTTATAATTAATTACTGATATTTTAACAGGCAAATATTTTGACTGGATTAATTAATATTTCAACAAAAACTTTGTATACAAGTGATTTAGTAGCAGAAATAATTTTATCACTTTATATGCTTACCAATATTTTCGTTTCTTTAATTTTATGGAGAAATGGCTGGAAGGTTAAATTATAATAATTAATTAATTATTTATAGATTTTAGATTTTAAAAAATGAAAATTGTTATATTTGAACATTCAGACAAATAAAAATTGTCTACACATATCATTTGCAGTCAATTTCCAGAATAAAAAAAAACAACAAATATTCTAAAATTGTTATTAATAAAGATTTATAATAATTATAAAAAATTTTTTTTTGTTTGTATGAAATCCTTTTTTGTTCCTTCAAACAATAAAAAATTAGTTATTTGAACAAAGCTGATTAAAGATTCCAATGATTCAATAGATGCCCCGTTTGACGCTTTTATATCCACTATTATTATTACAATGATTATTATAATATAAAGGATATAAAGTAACACTGGGGCAATATATATATATTTTTTTTATGATAAATAGTTTTTTATTTCCATACACTTAACACATACACATAATTCTTTTAACCCAATGCTACGTACCAAAGTAAATATTCATCCATTCATCAATAAGTCAGTTCGCCAATTCACTCGTCAACTTTGAAATTTTCTTGCTGTTATTATTCCTATAATTTATTGAAAAGTTGTCCATTTTTTAACGATTCATTGAAAAAATAATTTTTTTTTCCCGTGGATTAAATGACGTCTTTTGATTAGTTTTCAAGTTCTGGTAAATTAACACGATGTCGGAATTCATTATTATTATTTGTAATGAACTAATTGTTGATGAGCTCACAAGATGTACTATTATTGCTTTTTTATTTTCCGTGACATTGATAGGAAATAAATAAATAATCTTACTAAAGGTAACTAAAGTCATTATACGGAAAAAATTTACATATTTTAAATTTGGAGAACTATTAAGCATTGTCCTCAATCCAATCTATTTTATTATTTAATATTACTATGTTTGTTATTTTAAATATATATGTATATATATTGTTACCTCCATCATTATATAGAAACTTGCAGTGGTAAAATGTAGCAATGACCAGATAAAGATAAATCTTGAAACTACCAGTTTTAAGGTCTGGTACATCAACTTTAGAAATATCCCCCCCAAAAAAAACAAAGCAGTATTGGCACCTGAATAAATGTGGTGCTTAAGCCTTGAATTGAACTGACATTATGTTTTTTTATACAAATTAAGGATTCCCATCTTTAATTCTAATGATTTCACTGAATTATTTCGACGGCTTTTTTTAGCTGTTCATTCAATGCATTGAATTCCGGTTAACTTTTGCAAGTTGACGTTATGAAAGCCATACATAATAGTAATGTTTGTCACTATTATTGTTGAAAACTGACGTAACATGTAATGTTTCTAGTAAACCTTCAGGAAATCCTATTGGTGTAGAATTCACCAATCTTAATGACCCATTTCATGCCTGTTACAGCCAATACTGCAGCAACAGTTGATGGTGATGATAGATCAATAACATCAGTTGATGGTTCATAGAAATTTGAATTTGAATTGTTAGGATTGAAGTCGTTGTTGTTATTATTATTATTATTTGCGATATTTTAATTAGTATTAGATTGTAAAGATGATGATGAATTTGCTGTAGTGTAAAAACGAAATGATTTTATTAAAGAGTTCATTCTTAATAATATTATAGCTGTTGTTATTGATACCATAATAGTAGCAGCAGAAGTTGATATTGATATTAGTTCTAAAATAGGTATCTGTAAATTATTATATACAAATTATGATAAAATAAATAAAGAAAGAACCCTTTTCTCTTAAACATCAAATTAATAAAGAAAATGAATTTTATACACAATTATTATGCACTTTTTTTTTTCAATAAAATAACAAAGGATATTATCTTGTCGATCTCTAGTTGGAAATTAATTTTTTTTCCATGAGGGCGTGATTTCTATTATGGTAGATTTTGCATGAGAGTGTAAAAAACCAGCCCATATGCAATGCATAATAAAAAAAAAACGCGTTAAATTTTCACCAATTAGCTACTCGTTAATTTATTATTACTTAATCATCCGTCTGCCCCTCTTTAATAATAATAATAATAATAATAATAATAATAATATAATAATAATAATAATCCAAAGCTTTTTTGACCAAAGAATGATAAATTATAATCCTTGAATTTAAAAATATTTGTATATATACACTCCCCTACCATAAATATCCGACCACCTGATGATCATTTTAATAATCGGAAATGTTACGCCTTATGCAGTTCAAAATTTTATTAATCAAACCGGGACTGGTGCATTAAGTAAACATGTTTTTAAATGTTAATTTGCATATAAACTTAAAGTCTCGTCGAGTTTGCATTATTAATGAAAACTTTAAATTAGACAAAATTCCATGATTTTTATGAAAACTTTGAGCTTAGTAAAAACATTCAAAACTCTGTTGAATAATGGATTACGTCATTAAGTAAGTCCACTTAAAAAATCTTGAATTATATATGGTTAAAATTTGAGAAAATTTGATCAAGTATAGACAACAAAACGTAAAGCCTTTAAAATTTGCATTTTGTCAACTTTATTAAGTGTTTTATATAATAAAATTACGGGGTAGTCGGATACTTTTTTAAACCCTTTTCACGAACGTTGAGCACATTTTATTAATGAAATAATATACATTACAATGAAGAAATTTGGCCTTTATTACATGTAAAGATTCCGATTGAAAATTTGCTTTTTGCTAAACGTTTCCATTAATACCATACTGAACCTTTCGAAGCTTTTGTAATTTAGAGATTTTGATATCAAGTACAAATCTATTTAGTAAAGTAAAAAAGGTTTTATTTAAGAAAACGTTACTTTTTTAGTAAGGACTCTTTTCATTTGACGTTACACAACTTGTGTGGTCGGATATTTATGGTGTACATGTATTAGTATGAATCTGGTTTTTAACATTACGTTCGTCGTACAACAATGTTTTTTGAAATTCTGTCAATGATCCTCTTTACTATTTCCTTAACGGAATATACAATTTTGGGGTAGGTTCAGTTTCAATGATGATCACACATGTTTGAAAACTTTATTTTATGTTAAAACACAAAGAAAATCACTTCAGAACAACGTGTCTTATTTTATTGTATGAGCACACATATATTACATGTATATTAATATAACTGATTATATGCATATTTATCGTTATCATATTTAACATATTTATACTGTGTACTGTCATCTTTAAAATTCACACAATGAAAAAATTTGTCGTAAATATTAAAAAAGCATGAGAAATACTTGGATAACGAATCGGGTTATTTAAAATAATCTAGATCAATTATATAAAATGAATGCTGAGTTTTAAAAATTGTACTTTTCTTCTTATTGCTAAAGTCGAAAAAAAAAAATCATGCGAATTTCAGCTGTCAATTTAAAAAAAAATTTCTTTATATAATAAAATTCTTTTTTCCCTTGAAAAAAAAAAAAAAATTTTATATAATTTTTCCACCTTGTTTTCTATAAATAAATAATAATTAATACAAATTAAAAATATTAAAAATGACAACGACAACAGCTAATCAACAAAACCTATTTCAATCTCAACTTCAAAATCAGCAATTTCAATCTCAATTACGAATACATCAAAATCAACAACATCTGCAACATCTACAATATCATCAACAACAACAATTGTATCATCAAAATCTAAATGATAATAATAATAAATATTCAACAATATTATCAAATAATAATATATTAATAAGCATCATACTTGTTATCATAGATTTTTCAATATACATAATCCCAATTTCGTTTCTATGCATAGTTCCAACCACTTTCAGTATCGTATTTTGGTATTCACCTTCAATCTATTACCTTTTCAAATTCATCCTAACAAACCAGAAATTTGGTTCATATATAAAGTTTAGCTTATTCATAATATCGCCATTAATCATATTATTTTACACCATAATATTATTGCCTATCATTATATTATTTTGTTATAGTTATAGTTTATTCATCACTCTAATTTCACCCATAATACTACATATCAAAGCAGACGAATATCCGTATTATATGATATCTTCATTTTCAGCAATAATTTATTTACCTTATAAATTTTTCATAATTGAGAATGATTTCTCATCACTTTCGTCGTATTCATCATCACTTTCATCATCTTTAAGTTTATACTATTTATTATTGAAGGAATTCAAACAAGAAGTCACAGAATCGCAAATCATTCATCCATTCAAAGAAGCAATAAATCTAAACAGATCGATTTGGAATTTGTATTCTTTAATTATTCCCAAGTTAGTATCCAGGTCTCAGAAGCCGGTCAAAAGAAAGATTGACATTTATCCTTGGTCAATATTTTATCCGTTAATAATATCACCCTTATTTCCAACAATCATTATTCCATTAAACGCCTTATACAGCTTGAATTTGTTCATAACAAAATTATATGTTGATTTGAAAAATGAATGTTTAAAAACTTATAATTCAAAAAGTTTTGGCAAAGATGCTAGATTTTTTCAAAGACTCTATGCTGTCATATGCACTTTAATAATTTTGTTATGCTTGCCGGTATTGGTTTCAGTATTATTTATAATTAGTTGTTGGTGGTGTTTTAGCAATCTAATCAAAACAATCGAGATTTCCATAGTTAAAGGTTTATTCCAGTCCATTTATTTCATGTGTCAAGTCATAATAGAAGATGATACTAGAGAAATTAAAATAGATTAGATGAGAAATGGTGGAAAAGAAAGATTAGGAAGAATCATAGGAATGTTAAGATTAGGGGAGAGATTAAAAAAAATCAATATTTTTATTTTTTTATAATTTAAAAAAGGCAAGATATAATTAATATAATTAGTATAATTAGGTAGGTTTTAAAACATTAAAAAAAAATTAGACTTTAATTATTTATAGATTAAAAAAAAGTTAAAAAATAGCATTTGTTTTTCATCCAAAAATCCATTAATCCAATTATTCATTCATTAATTAATCAAATATTTATATTACATAATAATTTACAATAAACTACTATCATAAATTTCTTTCCAACCTTGTACACGATAAAGTTTCTTATTAAAGAACTTTATATCATAATCATACTCATCGTTGTCGTCGTCGTCATTATTATTATCATTAGGTGACGTTGACTGTATTTTATTTATTCCTTCATTAATCTCGATTCCAAATTTTTCACATGTTTTTGTCAAAGAACGATTATTTCCCATGATGATTCCAATATTTGCTTTTACTAGTTTTTAATTTTTTTTTTTTTTGGAGTTAAATACCGTTATTATGAAGATTATTATTATTATTTGTTATGAAGACTATTGATAATAATAATTGGACTCACATAAACATGGTAAATCAGTCTCGGAATCACCGATATAAGCTGATAGTGTATTCTTTGGTGTTTCCAGATTATTAAAGATTTTTAACTTATCAATAGCTGAAAGCACGTCACATTTCATCATACCTGTTGTGAAACGCTCTTTATTACTATCATCATCATCATCAGTATCAAATATTAAATTATTACTCAAAATATCTTCTTTTCTTAATAAGCCCTTCAAATCATTTAAACATCCCAACATTAAATCTGGTGACCAATTTGTTGACAGTATATAAAAATTCCTTCCAACAACAATTTCATCATCGTCATCCCTTCTCCTTATCTCCCCTCTTCTTTTAGTCAAATATCCTTTTAATACTTCAATGGCATATTCTTTGATTTCAATTTTTTCTTTTCCTTGATTAAATAATTCGCAATTACCAATTCCCTCCAAACATTTAAATTCTTCGATTCTTTTATAAGATAGCATTTCTACTTGTCTCAAAGATTCTAATAACCTGCAATGATCCTTTAATGTCTTGTCTAAATTCTGTTCGTTCCATTTTCTAATGTGCTCTTTACGTTCTTCAAAATATAATTTCGCGAAATATGACCAAGGTGGAAGAGTTGCTGAACATTCATTATTAATGTTATTATTATTATTATTATTATTATTATTATAATTAAAATTACTACTACCATCATAATTACAATGATTATATATTTTCTCTTCCTCATCCTTTTCGTCTAATAATAACTCCTTCCCCACTTGTCTTTTTTCATACGCTAACTTTGCTATTTCACATACTGAATCTTTTATCGTAATTGTTTCATCAAAATCACAAACCAATAATCCGACTGATCCAACAGATTTTTGTTGTTGTCGTTGTTGATTTTCTTTAGACATTGTTATTATTCATTTATTTTATTTATCAAAGTGATACGGGGCGAGTTTTTATAAGAAAATCATTGTGATACAAGAGGGCTAGGTGGGAAAATACTATTTTTACCAATAAAATAAAAAATTGGTTTATTTAAATGTAAATCAAGCGTGAAAAATGAGTATTTCTCTATTATTCAATGGTATAAGCTATTTAATTATAAGCAACACAAACAAAATAGAATGAGCAGATACATTATTCAGCAAATAATTAAAATATTATCATTTAGGATATTATAGATAACTTAAATATTCACATTTTTAAAAAATCTTCGAACGTGATGAATTTCAAAACTGCAGAACGATCCACACACACGGCTTTGCCTACATGAAAAAAAGGACAAGCAAGTTGATCTCATTTAACACGATCCATGCAACGTTCTTGATCCAACACGGAAAAAACGTTGTACGATTTGGTTGGTCATGAAATATCAGTAACAGTTGGAGGAACTTTTTATTATTAGATTGTTAATTATATAAATCGGGAGACTAAAGGTAAATTAAGAATCTATTTTAATGCCGAAATTTATTATATTACTATATGAAATGTATATTTTTTTATTATTCATTGATGTAGCTATTTAGAAGAGTAATATTTTAACATTTTATTAAAAAAAATAGTATGGATTTTTATAAATAACTTTAATGACACTTTTAAATTGGTATTAAAGTTGATTAAACAAGTTTGTTGAAATTCATTTGAATTTTTTGAAGAGGGAAAAATTTTACTATGTTGCAGATCGCACTATTATATCCAATTCCCGCCCAGGTCCAATGAATCATTGAACATTGTCCATTGCCCAACAAAGCTGTGCAAAAATCACCATTGAGTGGGCAACTTGGACATATATGTCCAATGGTCCAATGGCCCAATGGCCAAATGGCCCAATGGCCAAATGGCCCAATGGCCAAATGGCTAAATGGCCAAATGGTCCAATGAAAAAGTCATTGGACATTGTCCATTGCATGAATAGCAATGATATTTTTTGGTCATTATAAAATCACATGACTCAATAATCTATCAGTATTAGTATTAGTATTAGTATATTCGAGCAATTCTAATTATAATTATTTGTTTTATTTGTTATTATTATGAATTTGAGTATTCGAATTACATTGAAAGTTTATTCAAACTAAAACGAATAATTTGAATAAATGAATAAAAATGAATAAAACGAAAAATTCGAAGAAACGAATAAAAATGAATAATTCGAATAAGAATTTGCATTACGAGAAACTCTAATACTCGTTCAGAGCATCAAAATTAGCCAATAATGTTATTATTATATTAATACCAAAAATTTATTTTGTATTATTTTAGGGTATTGTGAATTTTTGCCAATTTAGGTAAAGTTTATATACGAATTTTTTTAAGGCTTCGCTATTTTGACATTATAAGCTTTTAGAATTTCTAAAAAAAATTTCAAACTTTCTACATAATTTTGGTTGCTTTTTTTTAGAAAATTGCAACCACCATTTTTTTCGCAATACACTATATACGGTATATATAAAGAAAAAGAAACAAAATAATCAATGTTACTACTACCGAATGTAATTAATATTACAATGATTGCATCTTCATCACGTATATCTTCTCCACATTAGGGGCATTAATCCCAGTATAGATTACACAGTCAGTCTTGATCTCATAAAAATCAATTTAATAAATAAATATAATGAATTAAATACACGTTAATCTTTTATAATTTGAGTCTATTAAAATAAATATAGTCGTTGGCTGTTCTTAGTCAAGGATCAAATAGCAACAAGCTTCACTCTATTTGGATGATGAAAGAAGACAGGCCGTTACATTTGATGTTAATTTTATGCAATAAATATACATATTGTTCGTTAATCTCACTATTTGTAAAAACCTAATGAATCAAGTTGGGTGATTCGAGTATATATATAGCGTTTATACCAATTATTAATTAGCAGAGTTTTTAAAAATAAATCTTAAGATTTCTTCAAGAATGTATAAAGTCTTTGTAATAAATGTCCATTGACAAAATAATTTTAAAGAAACAAAATAACCAGTCTTGATCAAGGTAAAAATCCCGATTTTTTTTTAGTTTTTTTTTAAAAAATTGAATCTTTGAATGTTATTAAAAAGAAACAACCAAGTGTTACAGTAATATAATGATAAAGAAGAATTGTGTTCACGAAAAACATTTCCATAAGAATTGGCTTTAGTAAGGGTTCTTTGAAATCATAACAGTTGAGGAAATCTATGTAAATGCTAATTGTATTAGCAATATCGTACACGAGAATTTTTCAAACTATAAAAACGTTGGGACTTTTTTGTTATAAGGGAATAAATGTTTTGGAAATAAAAATTTTTCATTTTTTTATTTTTTTATTTTTTTTTTTTATAAGTAATACCAAATAATCATGAATGCCGAGTTACACCTTTCCTAAACATGTTTAATTAGCATATTTTATCGATCACGTAATCTACAAACTATTTTTTTGAAACAATTATATTCCTTTTTTATTTTTCCTACAATCAATCATGCATTGTTCAAAAGCACTATATATGCTATACTCTTTCGAAGTTGACATTTTTCATTATTATTATGTCCAAAAAAAAATGTCGTCAATAACTTTACCACCGGAACTTTTAATTAAAATATTTAAACACATTGAAAAAGAAAAAAATTATAAAACACTATGTACTTGCATCCTTGTTAATAAGCATTGGTGTCACATCAATATCCCAACTTTATGGAGAAGCCCATTTCATTCTATAAACAGCACCATCGTATTAATTAATTGTTTATTAGAAGAGGACAAGGGTTTATTGGCAAAAGTCAAGGGTTTATTGGTAGAAGGCGAAAATTTATTAGTAAAAGACAATGTTCGGTTTAAATTGCTGGAGAAACCACCACTATTCAATTATGCCAGATTTGCAACTGAATTAGATTTTGATGGAATCAAACAAAATTTACAAAAAATATCAGTCGATTCAAACTATCGTTTAGAGGAAAGATTAAAAGACTATTGTTTAGAAGAAAGATTAAAAGAATTTATTTTAGATCATTCGACAACTATCAGGAGGCTTAAAATCGTTTATTCGGAAAGTTATAGGTTGCTATATCATCGTAGATTTGATGCTTGTTTTCATAATCTTTATGAATTAGAATGTTGTATTCATGTTAGCTCTGAATTATTTGATAAATTAGCAATTATTTGTAGGAATATTCAAGTTTTAAAAATATATTGTAATAAAGATTTTACTGCTAATTATAATGGTATAGCTCGGCTAATTAAAGCACAAAAACAAATTAAAAAGTTGGATATTGATTCAGAATTTGAATTGGATTTGTCAGATGAATTTAAAAAGGCAAACTTGTTTCATTCAAAATCAATAATCGATTATTCAAGTTACGGTGGAAAAAATAATCTGGATTCTCTGATAATACCAACGTTGGAAAATTTAAAATATTTAAACATATTTAAAGCATATGATGGCAGCGATATAAAATATTTAAGATCTGTTTCACTTCCCAATATTGAGGCTTTTTGTGTGGACATTGCTTTTCAAACATTTCTATCAGATCTGTCAGAATTTATTAAAATCAACGGAAGTAGTCTTAAAATTTTGAAAATTATTGGTAGTGGTCAAATAGATGATGAATTTTTGGGCGAGCTTCTTAAATCAATTGGGCAACATTGTCAAAATTTAGAACATTTGTTAATAATTTACAGCAACAATGAATCTAATCAACAGTTGGTTGATATATTTAATAATTGTAATAAATTAAAATCCATAAAGTTTGATTCGATCAACTGTGACGAAGTGGTGGATGCCGATAATATAATATCACTTTTAAATCGAGCATTACCAAAAAACTTAAATACTATCATTTTTGATAACGAGACCATTATTTATGATCGAGGTTTATTATATGAACTGATGATGAATTGGAAAGGTCCCGAATCTTTTAAAATAATAAATGGAAGGGATGAATTTTATCTGGCAAATATTCAAGTAGGAGACGCATTAGAAAGATATCAAAGATTTAGGATTTTTAAAACAATATACTTATTAATTATTAATTATTATTATTATAAATTCGTTTTATTATATGTAACTTTGTATCTTATTTTCAATTATTTTTTTATCATAATACCTTTCAATGTTTGAGTTTAACAATAATCTAGTTCTTCCCTAATTTTGGCACATTTCATTGACAGCTGTGTAGATCTCAACTAATTGTGATCGATCATATACATACATGTACTTTTATGTTGATCATGTCATTCTTGGAATGGGGTGATCGTAAACTGTGTGACCTGCCAGATATGACCGCCGTAACTCAATTCCACCACACCTTTATTAAATAAAAATTAGGTTTTCAATATATGATAATTGATTACATTTCATTTCTATTATTGTTATTATTGCAAATTTCATAGCAACAGAAAAAATAAAATTTATTATTATTTGTAATCGTAAAGGTTAAAAAATTGGGTTATAAACAAGGGGGTTATGAAAGAAATTTGACTGAAATTCACACATACATACCATACACGATGAACCAAGAAAAAAATGAATCAACAACTAATAATAAATTTGTTGGACAAGAAATTTCCAATGTACTTAAAGAATATGATTATGGAATTCGACCTGGCTCAATAAAAGTTTTAACGTCAACATCAACAACAAATAATGAACTTCAAGAACCATTATATTCAAAATTCGAGCTGATATCACTCGAAAATATTAAGTTAATAATTAAAATATTTGAAGAAGGATACCTTGTAAGTTTTTAATATGATAATTAATATTAATTAATTGCTTGATAATAATAATACTATCAATGCCCACACACACAAATATAGATTGAATCATTTGAATCAGAAGATAATGTTAATAAGAAAGATTCGGAAACGATGAAAAAATGGGTAAACAAACCATTTGAATCAATGGAAGCTTTATTATTAACAGTTAGTCCAAAATTTGGAGAGAAATTTCATGATGCTTTGTTTAGTAAGCTTTCGAATATTAATGCTGAACAACAATCAACAGATGATAAAAAGAATAAGAATGACGATGATTAAAGAAAACCATCAAAAATTCAAAAGGTTGAAAAGTTGAAAATTCAAGCTAATTACTAATTATAATTTTATAGATAGTATAATTAGACTTTTTTTATTAATATTATTAATGATAAAACATAATATAAATAGCTTGTAAATTCTTCTTTTATTTCAATTCAAAACAATAAATTTAAAAATTAAAATAATAATGCAACATAACATTAATATAAACAATATTAACAATATGAATAATATGAATAATAATAATAACCAATCACAGCAACAAAATTTGCAACATAACTTTCAACATTCACAACTTCTACCACCTGTTTTATTGTTAAACAAAGACCTTGATAATATTGCAAATGGTTGGAGTAAAATATGCCAAGAAATTAAAGTTAAATGGCGTGTTAAATGTGAGTTATATTTTTTTTATTAATACATATATAGATTTGTATTTACTATCAATACATATTATTTCATAAATAATTATTATAATTAACTATTTTATAGACATTGAACCAACGCAATATACTCCTGGTGTAGGAATAAATTTTTTATATTGTTATTTATTTTAATCAATTGATTCATCAATTATTTTAAATTGATTATAGGATTTAACATTTCCAAGAGCAAATATTACATTTTTATGTTTTCAACATGAGAAATGGAATCAATTAAAGAATGAACAAGAAAAAATTCAATTTATAAAAAATTTAATTGACAGGTTTCTTTAATTATTTAAGTTTTATTGTTAAATTTTTTGAATTTTATTAAAATTTATTTATTATTAGGATTAATAAATCATCAAAAAGATATTTTAAAGTGTTCTTGTTATTACACATTGAGAATAATAACCTAGAAATTTTATATGATATACAAATTAGGTAAAACTTAAACCTATATATCATATCAATTATATATATCATGACCATATTAATAATAAGCTTGTTATCATTAAATTTATTAAAAAGGTTATTGTCAAATTTCATAAATAGTATTATGATTATGCCAGTTCATAATTCAAATGAATTATTAAATATTTTAAGTATAATTTATACTGGACAACAACAGCAACAACAAAATAATGTAATTAATCTATTGGTGACTTATTTACTTTTATATATATATAGAGTTAGTTAATTAAATACATTTATTATTATTACACCATTCTAGAATGAACAGAATTTATTAAAAGAATCAACCAAAAATTTAAAAAAGAATTGGGTTCATTTAGTCTCTCAAATGTCAGCAGGAACGAATAAATTGGAATTACATGGTAAAAAGAAAAAAGTTCAATCAATAAATATCTCTTTGATAATTATTATTCTTTCTATGTAACAAAAACTAATATACCGTTTCTTTAATTTATTAGATTGTTACATTTTACAAGAATGTTTTCAAACGATTTATAATATTTCAAATTCTACCATGTCACAATTATTAGATGCTTCATTGGATAAAGATATGTCTGAAAATGTTCTCAAATTCTTTGAAGAAGATTTTATTTCTTAAACTCACAAATAAAATAAATTATAAATTATAAACAATAACGATAATCTAATTAATAATCTACAAAGTAAATTAAATTAAATAAATAAATTACATAAATTATAAATTAAATAATTAATATTATCAATTAAAAAATTATGTATAATAAAAGATGTGACCGTTGGTGTTGATATTGATGTTGGTGTAGCATTGGTAGTAGTGTGTGGATTTTAATTTGGAACATATACATAACCAGTAGTATAAGGTTGTCCCTCAGGTGAAATTTCAATCCGTTGATTGTTTGGTACAATTGGTTGTGTTGTTAATGATAATGGATAGTTTGTTATTGGTTGTAATGGATAGTTTGTTGTTGGTTGTAAGGGATAATTTGTTATTGGTTGTAATGGATAATTTGTTATTGGTTGTAATGGATAATTTGTTATTGGTTGTAATGGATAATTAACATTTAGATCATGATGTGAACTATTATTACTATGGTTTGAGTAAAAATTTGGATTGACTAAACTTGGATTACTTGTATTATCTAGATTGCCAGACTTATTACTATGTTTTGGGTAAAGACTTGTTTCGTTTAGACCAGGGTTTGAATTAAGAGTATGATTGTTTAGACTAAGGTTTGAAACACTTGTATTATCTAATTTACTACTACTATTTATGTTATTAGTATCATCAATATTATTATTAGGATTAGGATTAGGGAAATGATTTAGTACAAATTCTTTATCTTCTTCTTCGCTACTTGGATTTACATCTGATTTACGAGGTTTTGGTACTGTTATAAGTTCATATATCCTACTAATCAGATCATTTAATAACATTATTACACCTGATATTATTGTCAAGATTGGTACTACTTCTCTTGATTGCGTTTTTTGTTGATACAATGCCTAAATATTTAATGGAGAAAAAAATTTTTAATATTAATATTATATATTTTATATATTTTTTTTTTTGCTTACTACTTACCACAATTACAAGCTGAGGAATATCTTCAATAATCAAATTGAACAGACCACCCATAAAGATCTTTTTTACCGCGCCACGATCAAATCTAGCCTTGAAAATTTCCAATCCCAAGAATTTGGAATTTAATAATCTCAACACCTCAATGTGCACCATTGATAAAACTGTCATGGCCCCGGCAAAACGCCTATATTTGCGTAACCATCTTGCAAATTCTTCATTGTTACTGCTGACACTTTGTTGAGAGATTATGTAAAATGCTAGTGCTAAATTAAAACCGAATGGTAAACACAATGCCACCAGACTAATGTTTATATGCATATTTATATGTTAATGCATGTTAATGTAAGTATGTATATGCGAATATATTTATTTACCTTGGTATTAGTAAAAATCTGCCATCATCTGTAAGTATATTTTTTAAAATAAATGTAATATCTAATCCCAAATTTGTTACAATTAAGGCTAATGTAAAGACAATCGTATTTCTACCCTATAATTAATTAGATCAATAAATCAATCATTAATATTAATAAATTATCTAATCATTTATACACACGTACTTTTTTATATTTAATCCTAGCATAAATATAAATTATCACTAATACAAAGATTACTGCTGCGCCCGCTATTATTATTGTTAAATTATCTTTAACAAACGATACTAAAAAAAAACAAATATAAGATAAACTTATTGACCAATATAATTTCAAATGTTTACAAAAATAATATTATTATTAAAGAGTATTTATTTACTTATTCTTTGTATTATGTCGTTGTCCTTTGATGGTTCCCGTTTATTAATAATATTCTTTTCATAGGATAAACATGTAGTAATCAAAATTAAAAAATACGAGGTTATTAAAATTATAATTTTTTTTGATATTGAATTATAATTTAATTTTATCATTTTTGATTATTTATTATAATACAAAGTTTACAAAAAAAAAAAAAAAAGGAAACTGATTTAATTTATAACAATTTACAAAATATAAATATTTATTAATTATAGAATTTTCATTTTGCGAAAAATTCAGATTTAGAAAAATATTTTACACAATAATGCATAACATTATAAATTTTTGATGGTGATCGACAGACTTCTTTTTTTTTTTTTTTAATTCATTGTTCTAAAAAGTCGTTTTTTCAAACCCTTTAATTGGAAGACATTTAAATGCAAAATGAAGATGATGAAACAATAAGGAGATCTTAAAAGTTTTTTTATATAGTGTTTACAAAGACTTTTTGGTGATAAAATAGGTTTATTATGTGATTGTTGAGAAATATTTATCACATTCAAAACTATAAAATGAACCAAATAATTCAAAAATTGATTTATTTTACTAAATAGGAAATTCAGTAATATGGTTGGCTCGGTCCAAAGACCTCCTATTGCTGCGCCATGCGGTCAAATTTCAAAATAGAAATTTTGTATAATTCGTTCAAAAATGTAATAAAAATTTTCAAAAAATAGGACTTCACGTGATTTTAGTTTTCTTACTGCCAGATAGTAATAGTCAAGAGCTAGTCTAAATTTAGAAATGATCTTAGTGGACAAATTCCTCGCGAGCATAGTAAAGCACATGTTTTAAAAAAAGAATAGAACTCTACAACAAATAATTCTTTTGAAAAAATCTCTCTATTACATTAAAACTAAAGACATATTCTATCAACTAATAGAACTATTTTTTTAAAAGGTAGGACAGAAAGTGACTTCTATACTTTTAAAATTTGCTCAAAATTTAGGAGGTCTTTAGATCGAGCCAACTATATTAATTTTAATTATGCTCTGATTTATGACAATAGAAATATTTCTGGAAAAAATTATTTTTCATTTCTTTATTTGGTGGACTTTCCAAAAATACTCACATCATTATATCTAATTTCTGTATTCAATGAATTTCTCATATTTTGATGAGAAACCCCCCATACAGAATACTATATACTATTTTAATCAATTTAATAAGCTAGGAAATATATCAGAATGTTCATTAATAAAAAGATGAAATATTAGCTTGCATATGTTTTTCGCCATAATTATTTAAAAATTTCAAGACTGACAGTCAACCAACATGCTTAAATAAATCCACCTTTTAGTATATTTTACAAAACTTGTTTTGTGCATCTTTCCTTTAACACTTACCTCCCATCAAAACCCGCCTCCAATATTTGTTGATCACATTAGCTATAACAATTACAATTCACAAATTTACTTTCAACCAAGAGTATAGATGTATTGCCAAACTACAACTTATGACATAACTCTTGAAAGACTTGCCGGAAATCCTCAGCACAAAGAATTTTGTGCGCTGCCTCTAACAATATTTCAATTAATAGCTGAAAATGGATTTTGGTGAGCTATTAGTATGTAGTTCGTCACTAAATGAAATCACATGACATATATACATCAACTCACGTGACGTGTTGCAAAATTTTTATTGATGGAAATTTTCAAAAGGTTATAAACTTTTGTGAGCGATTCAAAGGAAAAAGGAAAACCATACACCGTGTCACCAGAGGTGTTCTATTCCTTCTGACAAATTTAAATTTGTTTTTGCTGTTATTCAAATGTTTTTCGGAAATCATTTCCCTTCTGGTCAGCCAATAAAAATTATTCGATTATGTAACAAGAAAACAAGAACAGAACCGGCTTTACTGATACAGATTGAGTTTTATATTAGTACATAATAAAGTTATTTTTAGTGATCAATAAAACGCATGCATTTATTATGTAACTCCACACTCATATATATACTCAATTCAGGACACCTGGTAATTATAAATGAACTATCATCCCACAGCAAAAATCCGTCATCCTGGAAAGCTATGGGCATGAAATTTTGTCAGGACATCTAGTTTTTTTATTATCTTTAAAAAAAATGGATTAAAAAAAAGTTTGATAGTGTTATAGTGCAAGTCACAACTTTCTGTGCCACGCCGCCAATTTTGAGAAAAAATTTCCAATCAAAAATGCAATTTTTGAAAATTGTCAAGTGCTAATTAAATATATTAAAAAATTTTCTTTTACATTTATTCCTATATATACATATGTAAATGATGATTAGAACAATAAACAACAATAATGATTATAGTGATATTATTGAATATTAGTTAAAATAAAAAAGAAATTTATATAAACTATTGAATGATTGATAAAACCTTTGTTAGTATATTTTGTTCATAGTCCTTAAAGCTTACTTTGATTACTCCTACACAAACTATTAAATAATTGATAAGCGTTCATTGGAATATTTTGCAAATTGCATATTTCTTTGATTAATGCAATAGTCTATTTATTAGATTTAAAATAAATGAACTTAGCTGTTCTTTGTATTTTTTTTTTAATAATAAAGACAATTCTCTTCCCGTTCATCTGGAAAATTCACGTGACAAAAGATCTCTAATATAAGGGAATTTTTATTTTGTTTCAATTCATCTATTTTTGATAAACTTTTTTGTGTGTAACACGCCATTTTAGGGCTAAACATAGTAAATTTAGTAAATTTGTGCAACTTTGAAGCTCAAATCCTCCACGACATATCAATGAGATGAAATCGTGATTGTGTAGAGGAAGGTCTTGGCTTCAAATACACGATTTATTTTGGGTGTTGCATTTCCATTTTGGAGAATTTGAAAATCTACACGACCAATAAAAAGTTGTGGGACTAAGTGACTTGCATCATACTTTTTACTTTATATATTACGTGTAACTTCCTTAATGGGGTAAAAACAGTCCTTATGGAAGTAGAAATGGAAATTTTGTCTTGTTACACGGCCTTATCTCAAGTTCTATATAGATTTATAATTTTGATGTCAAAAGATTTCCTTCATTAAAAGAAACATATTTTACTATGTTGTTGGATGGCATTGACTTTGATGAACATGTGGTTAGGTATTGTGTAAAGCTCTACAACATAATGTGATGATAGTTCATTTATAATTATCCGATGTCCTCTCAACTCTACACTGGAAATTACACAAACAATTACTTTGGGTGGTACAGGCATAATAAGAATTTTACTATGGTGCGCGAAGTCTATAACCAACATTTTTGCACGTGATTTGTGAAAGAATAGAAGTCTGTTTATGTCGATCATTTTTAAAAAATAACTCTGTTATTGCATAGATTAAGACTCAAACTTTATCGTAATGTTGTGCGTGAAAATGAAATCTATGTGAATTTGCAATTCACGTACGTGAAATTAAAATTAGCCAATCAGAATTTCATATCCAAACACCCCACCCCGAAATTTTAATTATAAATTTCGATTTCACATAATCCCAATTTCACATACAACAGTAACAGAGGGATTTTTTCAAAATATTGATTGGTTTATTGAGTTCTATTCCTTTTTAGTACATGTTCAAGATGATTTGGCAGCAACATGTTTGTCTAAATTTAGGATAGTCTACAATTATCATTTCTAAATTTGGTATTGCGTAGCTAAAAAATCACCGCGTCAAAAATATTTATAAAAACTATTTGATTATGCCGCCAAAAAAAAAGAAATTCTCAACTTAAAGAAGCTATACTTGCAAAAAACAATTCATTTATTCAAATACTCTCATATATGATTTTGCACAGAATCTGATTATGATGAAATTGAAAATACTAGTTTGCTTGCGGTCTTGGAGATTTATGGATGCTTATAGAAATGGATTGACAGGCTTAGAAGCTTTATATCCAATAAAGAAATACAAATCTCATAGAAAAATCCCAAGCATGTTATTGATAATAAAGAAATTTCAAAAATCACATGACTTTATAAATTTCTATCAAAAAAAAATATCATTTTTTGAATGAGTTTGGCAGTGTGGCGCAATAAACGGTGGTTATAGACTTCGCGCACTATAGGATGAGTGAGATAACAGGTTGTAAAATCTTGTTATATCTGTTACCAGCCAGGGGATAAGTAATTATACACTGTTTGTGTAATTGTCCATTTACTCGAAATAAACTTTTACAATATAAAAAAAAAATGTTATTTTTCCAAGAACAATACCAATTCCAAAATTTCTTTCATAAAATGGTAAAAATCCAATTTGTTTTATTTTACATGATTATTTGCCTTGTTGAAAGTACTTATTAATTATAACAAAAGGATCCTCCTTTTACTCCTTTTATAACTGCCTCAATGTTAATGAATCCTAAAATTACAACTCAAGAATTAAGAGAATCCTTGGCGCGTTTAGAGGTTAATTAATAGAATTCCAATTACCTTTAGTTACAATAATAAAATTTTTGAGTTACCTGGTGGCACTAAAATGGTAACAATAACAAAAGATGACTGTGTCATTCTTCCCGTAATTCGAAAAAAAGACTTGATGAGATTCATAATGTCATGGGATCCTCAAATGATTATCTTATCGGAATAAAATTAAAAATATATAGTAAAAAATATACCTTGTTTAACTTATAAATAATTTTATTTTATACACGCTTAGTAATTAATATTAATGCAGATAGTTTCCAAGTTTGTACTATTTGCGTTTTATACACTGCACACAAATAAATGATTAAAAATCAAAAATAAAAAAATGACAAAAGGTAAAAAGGGTAAAAACAAAGAATATGAGGAAAACAATTCACAGAAAAAAGGAAAAAAAACCAATACTACTGTAGTAGATTCTTCTTATGAGGAATTAATGAAAGGTTGTTTACCATTTATTATATGACATTTTAATAATTCATAAAAAAAAATATATATTTATTTGATTTTTTTTTTCTAAAATTATTGAATAAGAGGGAGTTAAATTAGAAGAGCAAGGTATTATTACTTAAAAAATTTACAAGATTATTTATCGGCGATCTTGATAATTTTTTAATTAAATCAAAAAGAAATTGTTAAACAATCAATATAGGAGAAAGATATGGGAGAGATGAAAAGGCAAAAAGATTTTATGAACGTGCAATCGAAATGTACAAAAAAGCTCACGAGAAAAATCCAAACGATGCTGATAGCTTATACAATTGGTAAAATATAATTTTTTAAAACCCATCTATAAATGAAATTCTTTTTTATAATAAAAATAAAAAAAATTTTTTTTTTAAAATAAGGGGACGTGTACTTTATATTCTTGTTGATTTCACATCTCACAATAATGTCGACGTTACTATTACACAAAAATTAGATTTTCTTGATGAATCAATTGATAAATTTAGAAAAGCGTTGAGTATAGATGCCAATAATGCTGATGCTTTATTTAATTTAGCACAGGCATTAACAACTAAAGCAGAATTTGTAGAAGATCAAGATGAAACTGATAAGGCTGCTGATCTGTTAAAAGAGGCCATACAAGCATTCGATCGAGTTTATGTTTTACAAATTAAAGAATTAGAAGAGAATAATTGTGGAATTGAAGAACATGATGATACTAATAATAATGGCGGTGATGGTAGTATAGTTGAATCATCATTGTCAGCAGCGGCAACAGCAGCAGCAACAGCCACAGATGTTGGTGGTGGTGACAATGAAAATTTAAAAGGATCAACAGAGACCGAGACAATTACAGAAATAATTCCAGTGACAAAATCGACCATTATAGATACTTTAATTGCTAATTCAAAAGCTCTTGTATTCTTGGGCTCTATTATTAGTGATCACGAATCGATTGAATCTTATTACACGGAAGCAATTAAAAGGTTAGAGAAGGCGTCAAGTTTTGTTGAACCATCAACATCATCAGAATCGATGACGAATATACAACTTCAATGGGCAGAGCTTTTTTCATCACAAGCTGAACGTGTTTTCCAAGAAACAGGGAATGTGCAGCAACATCTTTATGAAAAAGCAATTCAAAAATTGGATAAAGTTATTACTGAATTAGATAAAGAGAATGCTGAAGCGTTATGTGATCGTGGTGATATTTTAACAAATTATGCAAACAATTTATTGAGGTCTCGTTCTGAAGAAAACGATAATGGTGATGATAATGAGAAAGAAAAAAAGATCATAGAGCTTTATTCAAATTCTATAAAATCTTTTGAATCTGCCTTATTAATTGAACCAAAGAATATTTCAATACTTCAAAAGTTAGCATATTTAAATCATATGAATGAATCATTATTATTACCTTTTTATCAAAAACATCATCAACAAGGAATTAATAATGGTTATATTAAAGCTGTGGATTATTATAAACAAGCTTTAGATATCAATAAAGATTCATTGGAAACTTATTTATTTTATGCGCTAGAGTTAAGTCATCTACCGAATAAAGAACATGAAATTGATGAATGTTTGAAAGAATTTGAAAGAAGAGGTGGTTCAAAAGAAACAATAATAAAATGGCAAATTGATAATGAAGAATTATTAAATTCAAGTGATATAAGTAAAGGCTTTGTTCAAACAATTCAAAAATTCAATGCATGATTTTGTTGTTCAAATAAATAAATAAATAAATAAAAAATAAAGTCCGTTTACATTTATGTAAAGTCGTGTTCATTGTATTATTACTTTTAATAATTGTGAAAATAGTGAAAAATGAAATGAAAATAATGAAAGTGTGATGATAATAACCAAATTAAACCATTCACGATAAAAAAAGAATACCTACCACTTTATACAAATACAAAGAATAAAAAAGACATATATATTAAGATTAAAGATATTAGCCATAATAATTAATAATAAATAAAGTATTTTAAGTATTTTACAATATTGCAATAAATAAATCTAATTAATCATTTATACATCAATTTATATAATAGATAAATATATATAGTAATATGATTCTTTAATTAAAAACGTGTATATATATATATATATATATTATATTATTTTAATGATATAAACTTATTATTATAAAGTAAAATCACAAATTAGCCCATTGGTTTTGCTTTAGTAGTGTCATATATTCTAATGAGTTTAGATTCCTGGCCAGATTCGTTTTGTGAAAATGCAAAACCACGACTCTTTCGTAATCTTTGAACAGCGCGAACTTTTCGTATAGCCTTTTGGAATTGTTCCATTCTTGGTCGATAATCTGGAATATTGAATTTTTGAATTTCTTGCACTGTGTGATAGGTTCTTGTATGATACATACGCTTGGTGCTAAATTTTTTTAATCACGTATAATAAATAAGCAAATATTAAAAATGAATCAAAAATAAATAATAACAAATAATAATAAATGAAAAAATACACATACTATTTCCAAATAATATCTCTTAAAAGACAGATGACTGGTATCAGTAAAACAGTAAGATAAAATACTGGGCTAGCGAAAAGTATTGGGACAATTCCTTCATATTCTTCCGAAAACTTTACCATGGGTGCAATTGTACCATATAATGCGATAAATATTATCCAGAACACAAATGAGCCAGGTATTGCAATATATGTATATTTTGTCCATAAGCTAATATATATAAATATAATATATAGGTGTAAATATAAAATGTACGTGCATATGTATGCAATACTAACACTCATTAACCCCCCTTCTTACTTTGTTATTAATGCTGCCTTTCCTAATACAGTTGCCAACACGGCTGTATATAAAGTTGTGCCCCATGTCCAATGACCCGCTATTCTGCCATCTGCTAAACTTAAATCATCAGAAAAAATATATATTGAAGTCCAATATAAAATCTATATATATATAAACTATAATTAGAATATTATTTTCTTTTTAAAAAGAACCGTAAATTTTAATAATAATTAACTTACTAAAGAATGAAAAAATGCATTTATTGTCCATCCCCAAAAACTTTTTACGTTGAACTAAAGGATAATAAATAATTTTATATAAATTAATGTTTAATATTTGATTACAAAAGATTTATTTTTTAAACTTACAAATTCACTTTTTTGTCCCAACATATACATTTGAGGATATCGATCTAACATCCTTGCACTAACAAATTGATCAAATACGCCAATAACCATTGGCGGCAGTACAGTAAAAAGAACATTGTAATAGGTGATGGTCCAAGATTCATAAATTACTTGTCCAGAAAAGCTATTGTGAAAAGTGAACTATATATATATATATATAACGAATAAACAAACATATGAATGAATTAGTAATTTTATTTTATTTTAAAAAACTTGAATATATATATATTTAATTTATTTAGTTACCCAAAATTGTGTCATATATAATGTTATATTCTTATAAAATGAATATAAAATGAGTTTACTCAATCTTTGATAACTCCATGCACCATGAACTAAAAGTAATTTTTTCAAATATTTAAACTGACTGATAGCAACATCAGCACTACGAGCAGCCTGCATCCCTTCGAGTCCGCTAATACCAATACCAACATGAGCTGCTTGAATCATTGAAACATCATTAGCGCCATCACCAATAGCAAGAAGAATAGCTTTGAGATGACGTTTTACAAGTTTTACAACTAATGCTTTTTGAAGTGGTGAGACACGACAACAAACAACAGCTTTACACATAGTTGCAAGTTCAAGAAAATTTTTTTCCAAATCCTTTTCTAAAGCAAATTCAAGTGTTCGACCATCAATAATTAGAGCAAGTGGCTACATAATCATTATATAATTAGTTAATTAAACATTTGATATTATTATTTAAATAATTACAGATACATATTCTTACTTCAGATTCTGGATTAACTCTTCCTTTCATTGCAAGGATTTTTTTCTCCAAAAATTCTTTAGTAGCCCAGTGACTTTCTTCATTGACAACAATTAAAGTCATTTCCTCTTGAATCAATTTACAACTTAAGCCAATATTAACAGCAGTCTCTTGTCTATCACCAGTAAGGACCCAAATTTTTATACCAGCTTGTTGAAGAGTGCTAATAGTTTCTGGTACACCATCTTGTAATTTATCTTCAATAGCGGTAGCACCCAAAAGGTAAAGGTCCTTTTCAATCATTTCAGCTGCTTTTTCAAGTTCATCTTGACGATTGGTTAAAGTTGTAGCAGCTTTATCATAAATTCCAGACCAGACATTATATTCCTCTTCAGATATTTCACGCATAGCAATACAAAGAGTTCGAAGACCCTCCGTTGCATATTCTTCAAGGTGATGCAGAGTCTGTTCAACAAAAGGATTGTCTTTACCTAAGCGTTCTAAAATAACGGTATCAGCTCCTTTACAATAAAGCTTGATTTTTCCATCCGGACCACGTACTATCGTTGACATACGTTTACGTGTACTGTTAAATTCACAAATACTAAGAATTTCATATTCTGATTCTTTTCCATCAACCAAAATGGTGACAGATTTAGGACGACGTGTCTATAAACCATCAACCAAATATAATAAACTTTGTAAATATTTCTTATAAATAATGAATTTATAGAAATGTGAAATTTTTTTTTAATTTACCAAGAATTTATAACCCAAAATTAATGCACCCTTTACAAGAGCACCTTCATCTGGTGATGAAGCTTGATACACAATATCTATTAAAAATAATAGTTTAAATAACAATCTATTTAGTTCTTTTTTTCACAATTATAACAATAACAATAACAATAACAATATACCATTTGGATCATTATTTTTTCTCTCTGGAATAACAGTATGGCATACTGCTAAAAGTGAAAAGAATTCATCGATAATATTTGCAGTAGAATGACTTTTCAAATTCTCTTTTAATTGTTTAAAATCATGTAAACCGACCTCAACACCATCAACAACATGTGCTCGCTTTGCTTCATCCACATGATCTGAATATGATAGTCCAGCAATAGAACATTGTCTAAATTCCATTTCATTACAAGTAAGCGTACCAGTTTTATCAGAAAAAATATAATCAATCTATTTTTTTATCGAATCAAAAATTTAATTTTTTAGTAGAAATAAAAACACACGTAATTAATAAATCATATATATGTTTTTACATAAAATAATATTTTTTCCATATTGTATATACCTGGCCCAATTCTTCTACCAAACTACTAGTTCTACATAAAGCAGGTGTGTCTGTCTTTTCATAGTACATATCTAAATCAGAATTAATTAAGGCCGCTTGTTGAAATTTTACAACTTCCATAGTAACAATCAAACTGTAAATAAACAAATAAATTAGTTTCGTTAATTTCACAATGATCATAGTGTTGATAATGATGATAATATAACAACATCATGAATACCTAATTGGGATCAAATTATTAAACAAAATCAAAAATGTTAAAATATTAAATCCAAATTGACTCAATAAACTACCCGTTGCTAAAAGCTGCAAGTAAGACATTTCAGAACCAAATTTTATCTAATAAATAAATAAATAAATAAATAAATAAATAATACATATATAAATAAATATAGATGCAGATATATAAAATTAAAAGATTTGAGAGTAAAAAAAAATAAGTTAACTTACTGTCCTTGCAGCACTTCCTATTGAACATGCTAAACTCATTGTTAATAAAATTCCAAATAAAAAGATAATTTGAATGTTAACCATTTTTTCAACACTGGTTCTTTTAATTGGGGTAGCACTTTTAAATAATATAATGAAAAAAATTTCAATTTGTCAAAACTAAATATTGGTATTTAAATAATAATAAGATAAAATAACAGAGAATTTTTTTTAAAAAAAGGGAAATTTATACCTAGCATTTCTCATCAATTTAGTTTCATGGCCAGTAAAAATAACAACACCATATATCCAAGGCGTGTTTTTTAATTGTGCACCCTATAAAATTTTTAATTAATAACTAATTGTTTAAAAAAATAATATCAAATTAATCATTTAATCAATTACATACTCTAAGTAATAACTGTGTAGGATCCAAAGGAACTTGTTTACTTCCATTTGGTCCATCCATGATTAATATACCATCATATGTATATAAACTGTTATTTGGACTTTCAGATTTAATGTAACCTTTTTTTTTTTTTATCATTAAAAAATTTCGTTAGTTTTTGGCAATAATTTAGGAAATATATATATGTATGTATATGTATATATACTTCACCGACCATTTAATTGACTTATTTGTTGCGGTGTAACAAGAATTGCAGTTTCAGTTGTTGCCTGCTTAATTTTTAGATTTGTTTCACTTAAAAATAAAGATTTTAAAGTTTCTTTCAGTAAGGTATATATATTATCAATCTGACGAATAAGAATGTTTGTTTTTTAATAGTAGATAAACAAACTAACCCATCCAAATTACTTGTTTCAATGTAACATAAACCTTCTGGTTCTGAGCTACTCAATAGCACCAAATCAGCAGGCAAAAAATCTCCACCTTCAACACGAACAATATCACCAACTTTAATTCCATTCCATTCTTTCTCAATAAAAGCCATTCCCGAAAGAGTTTGGCATTTTCTTTGATTGACTTCTCCGTCAGAACGATGTCGTTTCTTTTGACAAGTACAAAATAAGTGAATTTTTATTTATAAAAAAAAAAAAAAAGAGATTTTATATATTATGACTTACATAATCTTCAATTACTTCTTTGAATGCAGTTGCAGACAGCACCACAACTAAAGTGATAAGGGTGGTAAATTGATTTGTTGGAGACACGTCTCTAATTTGCTATTGAATATGAAATAAATTTTTTTTAATGCTGATAGAATTATCTAAACCCTAATGTAAATATCATCATCATCATAATGGCTCTAGGATACAATTGTTGAGGAATTGATGTAAATAAAGATTGTTTTACTCTACCTGAATACATGCTAATTTGAAAGTAATAAAATGAATAATTTAAATATATAAAATAAATATAATTAAACATAATTAGATATCAAATTAATAATACCTGTGAATAAGAAAAATAAATTTGCGTATTTTGAAAACTGCTCGTATAAAAATTTCGGTAAAAAGGTGAAAAAATTGTATTTTGCGGTTGAAATTCTGTTATGCATATATTTTGCGGGTTGATTACGAGCGGGATCGTTGAGATAAATTATACGTCCAACTTTATCCTCGTCGTTTTTATTATTAGTGGCGGTAGTATAGGTTTCTTTGGTGGGTAATATATTAGCGTCATCACTAGGATTCATTTCGGGCGATGTGTTATAAGCTATGTTAGAAGTTAACGGTAAGTTAGCTTCTGAAATATTTGACATATTAGACATCCTCTTCATGAGTTCGGTGTTTTTGTTTGTTTATGCGCTAGTGGCAAAACAAATAAAGTTGAGGTGGCTTAAAATATAATTGTAACGAATCAATGAATTTAGAATTCTAAAATAATAAAAATAATAACAAATAATAAATAAATATTTATTATTGACAAAAAATTGTTTCTTTAATTAGTTTTTTTTCTATTAACTGATAACAAGGATAACAAGGGGTAGTAGGTTAAATTCTATTTTGGCCAACTATCGAATTAATTTTAGTACTAAAATGGGGCTGTACAAAAAAACACACAAAAGAGAACATTTATTTATATTACTAATATTATAATAATAACAAGTTTTTAACATAGTTGTATGTATGTGTGTGTGAGCCATATGTAAAGTAACACAAATCAATATTATTTATTATTTTTCATATCTTTAGCATTATCAATAATAATAACAATAATACTAATACTTACTAATGCATGTTTGAATTCAGAATAATTATTTTTTTAGAACTTATATATTTGAATATTTTTCATTTTCTTATATAATACATTTCGGGGCAATTGTGTGTTGTAATTCATAAAATTTGTGCCTCTTAATTATGAATTTTTTCCTTTGAGTTTTATTTTGTTATTAATAGTAATGAATTGAAAAAGGTATTGAAATTATTAAACAATCTCACGATGTTTTTAGATGCAACAGAGTCGATATAAACCATTGGTTTGATTGGTTTTGTTACAACAGATAAAAAGACATTATCAAATCTTTTCCTGCCGTTTTAATTATTCTAATAGTTCAAAGAAACAAAATTTACTTGAACCATGCACAAATAAATGATTACCTGAGATCAAAAATAAACTAAAAAAATAAGCTTGCTGAAATCGCGTGATTGCACACCAACTTGTACATCAGGTGGGATCAGCTCTTTCATTGAACTCGGAACTTTTTTTTTATAGGTTCCCGATAAATTTTTAGTTCTTAAAAATGGTATTTGCGTAACATAATTTAACAATTATCAATATTATAATTAGTTAATATTATAGAAATGTAGTTTTATTTATCTTAATATCTAAATAGGCCTGTTCGGCGACTTTTACGCAATTAAACTGTACAAGAATGTGACCAAATTTTAAAGAATATCGAATTCTTTTGTTATTATCACGGGCTCAACAATTGAAGGCGTTATTATAATTCTTGCAAAAATAAAAACATCCCCAGTTATATTAAAAAATGGAACAATGCCAATTTTACAAAATGTTACACAAATAAAGAAGGAAAATAACATAATACAAAGTTTTTTATCGGCACATTCGTGTTCAAGAAGGAGTGACCTTGATGGCACAAGAAAATATAATAGGTACGTCTGTCTGTTTGTTAATATTCAACGATCTATTTTATCAAGTATAAATGCAATATAATGTTATAACAATGAATTCTTTGGATTTTATTAAAGATGCATCCCACCGGTCATTATTAAAGATCCTTCCTTCTTTAAAGGATCACGAATGTAGTAATTTCAAATTTTCATTTCTTATATCTATGATTGTAAAGAGTTAATTGATGATCCGCGAATAAATGAATATGTCGTACATATATATAGTAAAAAAATGATGGAGATTTCATATCAAAATGATCGACAAAAATCTAAAAGTACTGATTTTACTATTAAAAAATTTTACTTTATGATCTTTTACAAGAAAATAGCACTCATTATGCTTTTGTGCCTCAAATTTATATCACTTTATTTTATAAGATGGAATAAACATCAAAGAATATATTGATACATTTTGATTTTTAATCAGAAAATAAAAAACTACTTTGTAGCACCTGTAGATTTTTCGTATATCTCACAAATTTACTATAGAAATGATCAACATCTCTCTCATTCATATATAGACGAATCATCGATTACACAGTGAATCTCGATTTAGCGGATACTAATTAAAAATCTCGGTTTTACTGATAAAGTTCAAAGAACACCTTAATTAATAAAAACCTTCTTGATATAACGGATATCTCGGTTTTAACGGATTTTTGGAAACTATCCGCTAAATCGAGATTCCAATTTTTGTGATACAAAAATATTCAAATATTCGGATGACAATCATTCTATCACGTGAAGAATTTTGGTCTAAAAAAAAAATTTAATCAACTCCTAATTATAGTAATGATTATTGTTTTTTTTAATTATTTTATGAAACTCTATCAACTTTTCGATATATTCATCACACTTTCTGCAAATGGACTAGTTATATCTTGGGAATTATATTGATAGATTCAATTGATAAACTATTTATCAAATGTTATCATCAGAAATAAATTCTGAATTAGCCAGCCCATACTAAAAAATCTGTAGATAAAACGGATTTCCTAATATTAATCGAATTATTGCCGTGGATTCCAGTTGTCAGAAATATTTATACTAGTTTGTTTACATGTTATAAAATGCCATAGTTTTAAAAAAAAATATCTTAATAAAAAAATTTTTTATCGCTACTCCTATTACTACTAGTATTACTGCTAATAATAATAATAATAATAATAATAATAATGTAAAAAAAGTACTATGATGATTTTGAGATGATAATAATAATGATAACTGATGTATGTACGGCAAACGTTATGGTTATATTAGTTTGTAAAAAATAAGTTATTGTTATATGTTCAATGGAGTAATAATATGGAAATATGGAAAAGTAAAAGGATAAAAAAATTTTTTTGTGACAAAAGTTAAGTCGGTGAATCATTACGTCAAATTATATGAAAAAGACTTGGCACTTTAGTTGACTAAACCTTAGGGTTACGCGGCCAGCCCTGATGTATATATAAATCATACTTGATTATATAATTGATCGAAAAATAAAAAAACAAAGACAAAAATCAAACAAAGAGAAACGCAGAAGGCAAATATGAGTTAAACAAAGTGCCAAAATGACAAAGTTCTTATAGACAATTATGGTTCTGGTTCCTTAGATATGATTGGTGAATTAAAAGACTTTGACCCCGGTAACAGTGAATTGGGTGTTAATAAAAGTGGCCAGAATGATTAATTTTGACTCTGGTAAAAGTGGTTGAGATGATATGACAAAATAAATCAAATTTCTCTGCTTCGAGTATTATTTCCATTTTTTTAATATAAAACGATTAATTGCACAAAAAACAAATATAAATAATTTTCCGATCATTTTTCTACTGATTATTATTATTTACAGTACCTTAAGTTACGCTTTTGCGGGTATTTTAAAAATATAGAAACGTGGAATTTCACCAACATATTTAGGTGATAAGTAATTCATGTACTATTATTTTTTATCTTTGCAAGGATTGCAAATATAATTAAAAGCATCATTAGTAATAATCACTAACAAAATATTAATTAAATGCTTGAATTTTATTATTTAAAAAATAAGAGTTTGGATAATAGATCCATGGTGCATTTGGTACTCGAACACTATGTAGCTGATGTGAAACTTTCCATTTAAATATAAAAATCTATCATTGTATCGTGTACCAACTGTAGAAGGTGATGATGATAATGTGTACTTTAAAAATTTATCAAAATATGAAATTTTTGAAATTATTATTTTCAAGACAAAAAAAATGGTTTTTTAAGTAATGAATTTTTAATGAATGCACTTTTCATTTATATAAAACAATTAAACAGTCGTTGATAATAGTAGATTAATCAACATTTAAGGGGTTTTCACTAGCTAATATTCTACTTGCATGATATGCTAATGGATACATTTCTCTTCCGATGCACAATCTCCTGCAAGAATATTATCATCAGCTACCACAAATGCAACTTGTTGATTTTCATACAACTTTGATGTAATCCAACAATTGCCACGAATTGTTTAGTATTGGTATTAGATTGTTTATCTTGTATTACAGATAGATGAAAAAACAAGACATCTATTATGTAGCAGGCACATGTCAAAAATACCTGATTGCAAGTAATATGGCACAAGATTGTCTTACTGTAGTGTTGTGCCAAAGCAGGCATTCTCAATTGCCGGAAATAAAATTCGTGAAACTTGAAATTGTTGTCAGAGACTGCGAGAGCATGTTTATGTATGAAGAACTGGATTATTAATAAAATAGAAGATTAATTCTTCACAATCAAGTGTTTTTTTTCTATTTGCACAATTCCATTCCATTGAAATTTCTTCTCTTCTATATATGTCATATTCTCCTTTTTTTTTAAATAAAAAAAAATTTATTTATATAATTCTCAAACCATTTGTTAATAAATAATTACCTACTCAGTTTGATTCATTGTTTTATTGTCACCTTTAATCAGTAACAATTTCGTTATAAATAAACATATCAGACATTGGATAATGCTAAGTGTTGTTATTATAAATTAGATGACTTAATTAAACATCTCTGTTCATACCTTCTTCTGCTTTACTGCTGATCTTCAAGTAAATGATATACCTTTTTTTCATGAACTAATCTCTAGAACTTTTAGAAATTATCACTAGAAGTTCCAATTTACCTTGTAAAATGAATTTACACCAATGGTAATATATTAATGGATGGAGGCAATGGTTTTGTTACTGATTTAAGAAATAAAACCACAATTAAACACTTAACAAAAATGCTTACATTCACAAGTGAATTTTCTGTGATTAAATACCCAAGAGAAATTTAAAATAGTTTGGTAAAAAAGAGAGTTGTATCCAAATGTTTTATTTGGTGGAATGGAAATGGGACATATAAATTGGGCTTAAATTCTCAATCCATTATAAGCAAGGTCTATTATAGAAAGATCCATGAACTGTATATCGGAAAATAATAGAGAATCAATAAAGAAAGAATAATGACAATACAGGATAGAGTGATCAAAGATAGGTAATACTCACCAATGGCTTCCCTTGCAATTGATTGTTCTGGCAGTCTTTTGTCTTCTATACCATATACTGCCATGAATAAGTAACCTTTATATTTTAATATTTATAAATGCAATTAAAATCATTATATTTTCTCTTTAGTTGATCAAAATAAAC